TGGAGGAAGGGCTGGCGGGGGGACCGCAGCAAGCATGGCCTCATTTATTCTCTTTGTTCAGATTTATTTGTTTGGCTGTGTAGGGTCTTAGTTCCTGCAGGTAAGATCTTGGCTGTGGTGCACGGACTCTCTAGTTGGGGCACATGGGCTTCAGTTAGTTGTGGCACATGAGTTCAGTAGGTGTGGCATAGGCTTATTTGCTCTGTGGCTGTGGGATCTTAGTTCCCAAACCAGGGGTCAAACCCACATCCCTGCATTGCAAGGCAGATTCTTAACCTTGGACCACCAGGGAAGTCCTGCATTCACTTATTCTTGAAACATTTTGAGAAGGGGCATTTTCACTTTCCTTTTTATTCAGCATTGTGTTATTTTAATACTTATGTTGGATCATGAGGTATTTATTTAATAAAAGAGTTTAAAGGAGGGGGAAGAAAAGAGTATGTTTAGCTTTGTAAGAAACTGCCAAACTGTCTTCCACAGTGTTTGTACCATTTTGCGTTCCCAGAAGCAATGAATGAGTTCTGCTGCTCCACCTCCTTAGAGGTGTTCTCCATGTTCTGGGTTTTGGCCATTCTGATAGGTGTTTTAGTTTGCAGTTGTTTTAATTTGCAACTCCTTGATGAAACGGGGTGTTTAGCATCTTTTCCTATACTTATTTTCCATCTGAATATTTGTTTTGGCCAGGTGTCTGTCCAGATCTTTTTGCCTGTTTTTAAATTGATCTGTTTATTTTCTTGTTGAATTATCGATATATGAGTTCTTTGTGTACATTGTATGTTAGCCCTTTGTCAGCTATGTTTTCTGCAGGTATTTCCTCCAAGCCTTTGGCTTAGCTTTTCTTTCCCTCTTGTTGGCCTTTTAATGCTTATGATTTATGGCTCTAGCCTGCCTTTTCACAGAGAATTACAATAAAACAGGACTATCCTGTTTCATAATAGCATGAGTCAGTCATAAATAAGTACTCTGATAAAAAGGAATATAAAAAGGACTGGTACTCAATCAACAAATATTTATACCTATATATAGGCTAGCACTGAGATTTAGCACACAAAAAGGAAAATAAATAGGAGTATGCTATCTACTGGAGAATACAAATAAGACACTAATGTTTATGTCATTTATTGGTCTTATAGATGTTTAAAATTTTAGTTAAATGACTTTATGATTTTTGAGATTTTTTAACTATAGTTAGAAAAACTTTCCCAAATCCGATTTTCTTTTTAAAAATTTTAAATGTTTTTCCCATAATCCCATAATGTCTTTCCCATAATAACAGTTTTATTGAGATGTAAGTTATATACCATATCATTACATCATCTGAAGTGTACCATTCAGTGGTTTTTAGTATGTCCACAAAGTTCTGCAACCATCACACAGTGTTAGAACATTTTCATCATCCCAGGAAGAAATCTCATGCCCATTAGAAATCAAACCCAACTCTCCAGCCCTAGGCAACACCTAATTTATTTTCTATTCCTATAAATTAGTCTATTCTGGATATTCCATATATATAGAATTATATAATATGTGGTCTTTTAAAAATATATATTTATTTGACTGCACTGAGCCTTAGTTGTGGCATGCAGGATCCTTGGTTGCAGCATGTGAACTCTTTCATTGCGGAATGTGAACTCTTAGTTGCAGCGTTATGGAGTCTAGCTCCCTGACCAGGAATTGAATCTGGACCCCCTGCAGTGGGAGCACAGAGTCTTAGCCAGTGGACCACCAGGGAAGTCCCTAATGTGGTCTTTTTGTGGCTGGCTGCTAGTCACTTTAACTTAATGTTTTCAAGGTCTGTCCATTTTTACTTCTTTCTATTGCTGAATAGGATTGCAGTGTCACTTTTTATTTGTCCATTTACTAATGGACATTTGGTCATTTCCACTTTGCTGTCAATAATGTACCTATGAACAATTATGTAGAAGGTTTTGTGTGGACGTGTTTTCTTTGATCTTAAGTATATACCTAAGAGTGAATTATATGGAAACCATGCTTAACGTTTTGAGGAAGTGACGACTGTTTTCCAAAGTGGCTGCACCGTTTACATTCTCACCAGCAGTGTAGGGGAGGGTTCCAGTTTCTCCACCTCCTCACCAACACTTGTTGTTATCTATCTTATTGATTATAACCATCTAGTGGATATCAAGTGGATCTTATTGTGGTTTTGATTTGTATTTCTCTGATGGTTAATGATATTGCTCATCTTTTCATGTGCATATTGGACATTTGTTTATCTTCTTTGGAGAAGCAGCTATTCAGGTTTTGTGTGTTTTTAATCAGGTTATTTGTCTTTTTATTACTAGAAATGCGTTCTTTGTATATGTTAGGTACAAGTCCCTTATCAGAGATATGATTTGCAGATATTTTCTCCCCTTCCATGAGTTATCTTTTCTCTTTCTTGATATCTTTTGAAAACAAAAGATTTTAATTTCAGTAAAGTACAGTTTATCCATTTTCTCTTTTGTTGCTTGTGCTTTGGTGTCACAGCTAAGAAACAATGGCCTGATCCAAGGTCACAAGCATTTACACTCTTTTAAAATCTTTTCTGATAGCACGAGGAATTCTCGATATTATATCCTTCATCCAACTTAAGTTTGCATCCATAAAATAATCATCAAATGTAAAGAAATTAACATCAGTACAATAATATTAACTAAACTGTGGCCTTTATCCAGATTCTTTTTCTGTTCAGGATGCAGGCCTGGTCCCCACCTTGCTTTAGGTGTCACGTCCTCTCTTGTCACGCCTACTTCAGTGTGGCTTCCTGTCTTTCTTGTGTCTCATGACCTTGATATCTCCAGTGTGCACTGGTCAGGCATTCTGTTGGACCTCCCTTGATCTGAGTTTGTCTGGTGATTTCTCACAATTAGGTCAAGACTGCCGACTTGGGGGAGGTGTGCCACAGAGGTGAGGATCCTTTCACCTCTTATATACGTATATATACTTTTCTCATCACATCACATCACATCATGTGATACTAATGTATCTGATTGCAGTAATGGTAAACTTGATCACTTGGTCAAAGTGTCTGTCAAGGTTCTCCACTGTAAAGTTAGTATTTTTCCTTGCCACACTCTACTCACTGGAAGCTGACCCTGAAGTTCAGCCCACACTCAAAAGCAGAGAATCAAATAGTTTGGGGATTTATCACTGTAATCCTTTATACTTTCACTTTTTCTATTAAAATCATTGATCAAATGAAATTCATTTTGATTTTAAGAAAGAGCTAACTTTCTGCCAATCTCTGACCATTTAATGAAGAACTATCTCTTCTTCCTGATTTGAAAAGGCATCTTTATCATATACCAAATCCTTATATGTATTCTACCTTTTTATGAATTCTTTATTCTGTTCCTTTGATGATTTTATTCCTTCTCCCATGACAGACTCCTATAGCTCCACATGTAAGTTTTGATAGCATTCAGGGCTATTCCCAAGGAAGGAGTCTGTCTTTTTATTTTTATTATTATTAAGGGAAGGACCACTGTGGAGAGGAGTTCTAGAGAAGGGGATAAGAAATTGAAGATCCAGGAGTAAAAGAGGGTATTAATATTTAAAGTAGGAATATCTCTAAGAAGATGGGAAGGAAAAGCCTCATCATCCAGGTGGAAGGATTCATCTAAGTGAAGAGAAAAGACCTCTCTTTATCGTAACCTGAGTGAATGAACAAAGGTCCAACACAACACAGATGACTTTAGAACGTCTTGCTGGGAACTGAGACAGTTCCCACCCAGCTAGTTTTCTCTGTCTGTGAGGCCTGCTGTGCTCGCCTTCAGGTAAGGCATGGAGGGGAGAGAGGTGCAGGTTTAAGGACAATGGAAGTTTAGTGAACATTCTTGCAGATAAATCTTGGCACACATGTGTTTATTTCCATAAAATTCTTGTTTGCTAACTCAAAGAATATATACATCAACTAAGTTGGAAGGTGGGTCCCCTTAATTTAAAATGAAGCCAACCCTAACGCGCAGTTTGCCCACATGATCCCAGTATAACCCTTTGTACCTCCCTTGGTGCTCACCACTAAGGGCTTCCCTTGCGGCTCAGCTGGTAAAGAATCTGCCCACAGTGTGGGAGGCCTGGCTTCGATCCTGGGTTGGGAAGATCCTCTGGAGAAGGGAAAGGCTACCCACTCCAGTATTCTGGCCTGGAGAATTCCATGGACGGTATAGTCCCTGGGGTCACAAAGAGTCAGACATGACTGAGCGACTTTCACTTTCACTGTAGTGCTCTCCAAGTATCTGGTTTAGGTGGTAAATTATACAGTCATCCTATTTATAGGTGTAGCTTGACATAAGGCAAATTGAATAAATTAGCTTATTAAAAGGCTTTTAAAATGTTCTAGTTTGTGAACACTGCTTTATGAGGAAAAGCCAACTGAACTGCCTGCCTTGGAAAGAGGACCGTCCACTTCAGTCCTCTCCCAGCTGAGGGCTCTGTGGTGTAGCTCTAACTGCTCACTGACTGAGTGTCTGCAGTGTTGGTGTGGCTGGAAGATAAACAGGTTTCCAAAGAGAAGGCGTCACGTGGACTCACACAGTTACCTTAGTGGGGGGATTTCCTGGCATCCAGTGGTGAAGACTCAGCACTTTCACTGCCGTGGCCCTGGGTTCAGTCCCTGGTCAGGGGGCTAAGACTTTGTAAGCTGTGTGGCAAGACGAAAAAAGATGGCACCTTAACGATCATCTGGTAACCCTTTACTTGTTTGAATGAGGAAACTGAAATCTATAACAGTTGAGTGATTCTTTAAGGTTTTAGGGCTAATTAACAGAAAACTCTAGTGTTCTTGCATGAAAAATCCCATGGACAGAGGAGCCTGGCAGGTTACGGTCTATGGGGTCGCAAAAGAGTTGGACATGACTTAGTGACTCAACAACAACAAACAGAAAACAGATCAGATCCCCAATCCTAGATTTTGTGTGCATGTGTGCTTTAAAATTTTTTCAAACTACTCCTGAGAAGAACTATTTGAAAAAATAATACTGTTCATAATTTTTGTGCAGCATACCAGTGCTTTCGTGCCATAAAAATTAAGAAAAATTACCTACCTCTGTGTGCTACACGATGGTCTTCAACTTCTGTTGTACCTCGAATTACTACCCACTATACTGTTTATCCCCGGGATCAGGACAAACGATGGGAAGGTAAGTCATCATTTCTGTAAAATTGTTGAGATCTTTCTAGACACTTTGTATCATTTTGTGGAGGTAAATATTGATATTATGTTTTTCATGATAGCATAAAATCACCTAATATTTTGTAACTGTATCAAATCTGTTACATATTAATATTTAGATAGGCAATTATTTGCAAACTTACACTAATAGATCTCAGTAATAAAAGTTGATTTATGGAAGCTGAAGTAAGATAACGCCCTCAAACAGAAACTAAGAGAACATTCTACTCAAACAATAATATACTTTGTATAGCTCTCGCAGGAAGCAGAGGGGCAATTGATATAAATAATGCTGTAACTCACAGACAAAGAATGAACTTATGTTTGGGGGGGTGTGGGGGGAGGGGAGAATGGGGGGACAGATAGTTAGGGAATTTGGGATGGTCAAGTACACACTGCTATATTTAAAATGGATAACCAACAAGAACCTACTGTCTAGCACAGAGAACTCTGCTCAGTGCCTGTGGCAGCCTGTATGGGAGGGGAGTTTGGGGGAGAATGGATACGTATATGTGTATGGCTGAGCCCCTTTTGCTATTCACCTGAAACTATCACAGCATTGTTAATCAACTGTACCCCAAAACAAAATAAAAAGTTTATTTAAAAAAATAATAATGCTATAAAGGATAGTGAGTACTCATAACCCAACCTTGTGATTTTATCAGGTCGTAGTCATCCCAGAATTGTCATGCATGTTTCAACCCTCTTCACTCCCAGGAGTGAACATGGAGCGGTTTGCAGAGGAGGCGGACGTGGTGATTGTGGGGGCTGGTCCCGCGGGGCTCTCCGCAGCTGCACGGCTTAAGCAGCTGGCCACCCAGCACGAGAAGGACATCCGCGTGTGTCTGGTGGAGAAAGCTGCTCAGATAGGCGCTCACACCCTCTCAGGGGCATGCCTGGATCCACGAGCTTTACAAGAGCTGTTCCCAGACTGGAAGGAGAAGGGAGTATGATAAGCTGTTATTTATACCAAGTCTCATCTTGATTGTATTTCCATGTCCAGATGAAAGGAATATGGAGAACCCTTTACACCTGGTTCTAGCTCTTAGAGGATAACTGTAGATAGGTTTTTTATTTTAAAAAGGGTCAAAAAAATTGACTAACATCAAATATAGTTAATAATTTTTAAATTAACTCATTTTCACATAGTGCCTTCTACATGTTGTATTTGTGTACTGGATTTATGAGAAGACATCTTGAGAGGTCTTTGAATAAATACAGCTTTTTTATTTTGAGGGTATTTCCTAACTTATTCCATAGGTGTTTATATCATTGTTCTTAGTAAAATGTACTTGAACTTTCCTATCTTTTTTGATACCTAAAGCCAAAGAGGGTAATCTAATTTTCTAAAGAAATACTTTAGTAAGACTCTTGTAACCTAAGCAGACACGTCACTGGCGAGATATACAGAGAACCCAGGCGCTAGTCTTACTGTGCTCATCATTTGTGTGACCTTGGTTAAAATCTTATACTCTGCATAACTCAGTTTTTTCTTCTGTGAGATGAGCAATGTTATTCCTGTTCAAGGTATTCAAGGTTAGACTAGTTAGTATCTGTGAATACTAAATATTCTATATAAACAGTTGTGAAGACTATTAACAAACAAAATTCTCCCGAGTAAATCTAAAGGTCAAATTGGCTTCATTCAGTGATTCTGAACAGCATCCCATCTAGCAGACAGAAAGGAGCTCCAAAGAGCAGCAGAACAGGTGAGGTTTCGACAGACAGAACATGGTTGGGGCATGGAAGTCATAAGCAAAAGCACTGTTTCAGGCGCTGTCGCCTCCCAGGCGGGGGACTCCAGGAGGACAGTTCACGAGGACTGGCAGAGAGGCTAAGATGGAATGAGGTTAGCGCTCAGGCTGGGTGTACTGACTTGGGGCTTAGCACAAGTGACAATGCTTTTCCTTCTGAAGTAGCAAACTCCTTGAAACTTGGCATGCTGTAATTATGCCTAATTTCTCTCTTCAATGTATTTCAGAAATAGGCATCATTGAATTAGTATTGACAAAATAGCAATTCTAATATGAATAGAAAAAATTTTTCACATCAAAGCCTTATGTAGCCAGGCAGATCCAGTCCATTCTATACCTGTTAATTGTCTTTGTCCAAAGAAAAATAAAGCTTCTCTTCTGTGTCCATTGAGCACTGGAGCCAGTGTCTGCCTGACCTCCACAGAGGCAGGGAGACAGGAGGCCAGCCTCCTTGAGGTTCACGTCAAAGGTGGCTCCAAGGCCCCCAGGAAAGACAGTCCTGAGATGCAAACTGGCTTGTTTAGTTTTTAAAAAGATTCCCACACATCTCAAAGAGACAAAGGGTTTACAGTGTCAGGTTTTCCGAAGGAAGTGATGGAAGAAAAGTGAGGAAGACAGTTCTCTTTCCTTTTTGACACATTATTTTATTATTTTGTGTTTACCTTTACAGATATGAACACAAAACATCCTTTTCTCTCCTCCTTTTGTTTCCAGGCTCCTCTCAACACACCTGTAACAGAAGATAGATTTGGAATTTTAACGGAGAAATACAGAATTCCTGTGCCAGTTCTTCCAGGTAAAGAATGATAAATACTATGGACTTACAGAATTCCATAGCTGGAAGGAACTACATTTCATCTGGTTAAATCTTTTCCTTTTACAGATGAGAAAACAAAGGCCCAGAGACTTGAAGGACTTGCCCAAAATTATACAGCTAGCTTGTGGAAAAGAAAGCAGGACCAGAGCCCAGTGCTTTTTGGTCTTCCAGTCTAGGAGAATTGAGATAGTCCTGTAAAACAACCAGGAATTTCTGATTTAGTTCTGTAATGTTATTTTCAACTTAATAGTTTGAACTCTAGACCAGATTGTTAGGAAATAAATTGAAATTAGGGCCAGAAGATGATGTGTGTATTTAATGCAGAAATTAGACCTTAGAATTTCTAAATTTAGTATTTAGGTTTTTGAGACTTACCGTCAGACTTCTGAATCCAGCCTCTGTCTGTAGGTCTCCCAATGAACAATCACGGCAATTACATCGTGCGCCTGGGCCATCTGGTGAGCTGGATGGGGGAGCAGGCGGAAGCCCTGGGTGTGGAGGTGTACCCTGGCTACGCAGCTGCCGAGGTTTGTGCCTCTCTGTTCCTAATGCTGATAGGAAGTGGTCTCTTTTCCTTTTGAAACTAAACCAAGAATGATACAGAAGTAAAGAGATAAATATTTTCAAAAAGCCATAGGATATTAGAGTTGTAAGATCAGAAGAAGTCTTAGCAGGATCAATCCAAAGAGTACTTGAAGTCTTGGTATTGTTCCACGTCAGGTGACTGGTCAACCTAGAATGAAAAAAGCCTCTGATGTACAGATTGTTGGTAATGCTCTCTCCTGTAAATTGAGTAGACATTTCTTTACTTTCTTACAAGGTGTGTAGAACAAATCTGTGCCCTCCCGCAAGGACAGCTTTCCAATTCTTATGCCCTGCTCTCCTGCCCAAACTTCACTGGTGATTTTTTTTTCCAGGTTAAATATTCTCAGTTCTTACAACCACCATGTCATGTATTTTGCGTTCCTGCAGTATTCTCATTGCCCTCCTCTGAATGCATTCTCTTTTATGTGGCACCCAGAGTGAATCAACTACTTCAAGCCTAGTTACAGCAAGGCAGGTTACCATGTTCATTCTAGAAACTGTTCTTCCAATAATTCCTTCAAAATAACTCTGGTAACTACATGGCACTATAGATTCTCACTACTTTTTGTTGGGGAAATTATTAAAAAATAAAATCTCCAGCCAAACCAGAAAAAAATCACCTCTACAAATTATAAACAAGAGTGAAGCTGTTTTATTACTGAATGAGCATTAAACCAAGAGTGCAGTGCAGTTACAGGCCATCTGCTAGGGAGGTTGCCAAGACAGAAAAACTCTTAGCCTTTTACTCAGCCAGACAGATACAGTCCATTACATACATGTTAATCGTCTTTCTCCAAAGGAAAAATAAAGCATCCTATATCTTTTTGACTGGTAGTAAGTGACAGCATGGAGGCAGGCACGTAGCCCAGACTGTCCCCCAGAGACAGGGAAACCAGACACAACCTCTGTGGTCACATGTCAGATGTGGCTCTGAGGACCCAAGAAACACTAAGATGCTGACCTACCAGGAATCTTACTTAGCTTTTTACATGATTCCCATATATCTTAAGAGAGACAGAAAGAATTTACAGTCAAGTTTTCTAAAGGAAATGCTGAAGGAAACTGGATAGGAGAGGGAGTTGTTCTTTTTGTCACCAGTGAAATTAAAATCATCTTTGTTTTTCCCATTACAGTAGATGTAAGCCAGATAAAACACATGGGCCTCTGCCCTACACATTCTGCTACTAGTTTCTGTGTTCCCAGTTTACACACGTGGATTTGGGTTTGCGTTTCTCCCAAATAAACTGTTCTTATTGGGAATCGATATCCAAGCCACAAGTAGGTGGTTTGTGGCATCCATGGTTTACGCACACACACTCACACACTCACACTCTGAGTCCCCAGCAGCTCTCCTCTCCTCCCCAGTTTCCTGCTTGCCAGGCCCGCCTACAGGTCCAGGCCACAGCCCTGTCCTAGCGTGGGTTTGCTTTCACTGGGTCACGTGCATTGCCGCTGGCTCTGGTCTCGGCTTTTTGCTCATATGCTTTCTGGCATGAGGTTCTAGTTCTTTCCTGTCCAAAGAGCATCTTCCTCTGGAAGAGACAGAAACCAAGTAAGACAGAGAGTTGTTCCTTCTCATCTTCAGAATCACACTTCTGACCGCTTTGCCCTCTTTCTTAGTGGTCCAGAAATAAGCTTTAATCCCCCCGGGCTGTCCGCAGCCGCACTGTTTTGTCTTGTTTGAGGGTTTGGTTTTGGGGTCTGGGCTCACTGGGGAAGGGGCTTTCCTGATACTGTCCTCAGTGCCCCCAGCTGACAGTCCTGTGTGTCACAGGCCCCAAGTCCAGGCTCCGTACACACGCCCTTGACCTCTGAACATGGCAGATGGCCTCCCATTGCCTCTTCCTGGCTCCCTGGTGTCCTCTCGCTAGCTCTCCTATTCTTCCTCGACAGGTGGGGACATTTCCTCCATTTCCAGCTGTTTGAGCTGAGTTCTGTTGCATCTTGAAGGGAGTATCTTAAAAGCACATCTCTTATTTTTGCCTGAACATTCTTAAGCTTGTGTCTCTATAATCTAGAGAATAAGTTCACCTTCTAAAAATCGAAGGCTGTTTGTTGTTTCTTTGCCAGGCAGTTATGAGTCTCTAGGTGATAATGAATGTGTTTTCATTTTAGGTCCTTTTCCATGAAGATGGCAGTGTGAAAGGAATTGCCACAAATGACGTAGGGATACAGAAGGATGGCGCGCCAAAGGTGAGCCTGTGGACAGTTCGTGCTCAGCACACTGGCAGTAAGATATAAAATTAACTTATACTCAATGATCTAGTCTTGCTACAGACTGCACATTAATTCAGTGCATGTTAGTGTTTAGTTATTAATGTGGAATTTTGTCTCATTGTTAAAAAATAAACATCTTTGAATTAAACATCATTTAGATAAGTAGATATAACATGTTTAAGAATGATTTTCTTAAAAGGTAAAAACATGATTCCTATAAATATAAAACAAAAACAGGTTGCAGATATTATTTCATTCATTCATTCATGAGGGAATTGGTAAGATGTTATAGCCAGTTCAAGGAAAATCAAAAAACATACACATGTGGGTCAGCTGCTCAACTCCCCTGCACAGTCCTCCACTTCTGTGGACAAGAGTCATTTGCATCACTACTGTCAGTAATGTGGATTGAATCTTTGACATCTTTTAGTAAATATAAGACTGATTGCCTTTCTCACTTTCAGAATATGCCTGAATGGCCTTCCAGTTTTCACAGCTCATTATTTTTGAATTTGCAAAAGAAGAGCTCTTAATACGTGGATCTCAGCTCTGTTAGGTCCCTTGGAAAGGACAAGGGAAAAATAACCTTCCTTTCCTATAACAAGAACAAAACACAGATTAACATCTTGATAAACAAACTTGTCTATTCATATTTGTTTATTGTCTCAATTTATCAACTAGATTAGAAGCCCTTGAAGGCTGAGATCTTGGAGGGTTATGCCAAGGCTGGCACAGTGCCAGGTAATGCCAGGGCCTCAGGAAAGATGGATTGCCTCCTTTTCTCCAATTATACAACAGAACTGGGCATCTAGTCTAGCATTGCCTCCAGCAGGTCTTCCTGCTTCTCACTCCTTCTTGCTTAGAGAGAAGCACGTGCCCAAGTTCTCAAGGCTTACTGCCTCACTGTTCTTCCTAGTGGCTTACCTGGCTGTATAGAATCACATGAGTTCGTAGGATTCAGCCTGTCCTATGACAGGGCCAAGGAGCTGTCTTGTAACTGGCCCCAGGGATTCTGATGCATAGCCAGGTTTGCAGACACCTGTCTTCTCATCCTGCTTCTTCTAAGTATGGCATGTGCCTGCAGCACAAAAAGCCAAAACTCTGAAAAGAGTTTATGACAAAGTAAGGGTTTATTCCAGGATGCCGGGCAGCATGGGGAAAGAAGTCCCTCGGATCCACTCCAGCTTGGTCTTTGAGCTGAGGGTGTCTTAAAGCAGAAGAACAAAGAAGTTAGGATTGGAAATTCCCTGGGGGCCCAGTGGTTAAGAATTGGCAATCTCACTGCTGAGGGCCCAGGTCCAATTGCTAGTCGGGGAACTAAGGTCCCGCAAGCCACACAGTGCGGCCAAGAGGGGAAAAATAGCTGGGATTAACCACTAACTCTGACTGGGGAGTCGGGATGTCTCTGCTGTATGACTCTCTGGCCAGGTACTCTGTGCCTCCAGAGTTTGTGGGCTCATCTCGCCCTGGAGAAACAGCCTGAGTTTGTACATTAGTGACGGATCTGTAACAGCAGTTGTCGTACATGAAAGGTATTTTCATAATAGCCACTGTAGTCACTGACTCTGGTTGACTGCTGTTCAGAGAGCACAGGGTGAGGTCAGAGGCGACAGAAAGGGAATAAAATTCTGGGTCGAGAAACTTGGTTAAGGGAGCTCAGTTTTCTGTGTGTGTGTTTTTTGTTTTTTTACATTTTCAACTTTTTTTTAAGTAGTACATAGTATTTTTTATTGACTGTTATTGAAAAGAGAGTAAGCCCTGTCCAAGATGTAGTTCTGTTGAGAAATGACTGCTATTGTCTTTGTCCTTTTTAATTTTTATTGGAGTGCAGTTGCTTTACAATGTTAGCGTCTGCTGTACAACGTAGTGAATGACCTATATGTTTACATGTGTCCCCTCTGTTTTGGATTTCCTTCCCATTTCGGTCACCATAGAGCCCTGAGTAGAGTTCCCCATGCTATACAGTAGGTCCTCACTAGCTATCTATCTTACACATAGTATCAGTATTGTATATATGTCAGTCCCAATCTCCCAATCTATTTCACCTCCCCTTCCCTCCTTGGTAGCCATATGTTTGTTCACTTCATCTGTGTCTCTGTTTCTGCTCTGCAAATGTTGATAAGATCATCTGTACCATTTTTCTAGATTTCACATATATGCATTAATATACACCTTTTTTTCCTGTTTCTGACTTACTTCACTCTGTGTGACAGTCTCTGGGTCCATCCATGTCTCTGCAAATGGCACAGTTCCATTCCTTTCTAAGGCTGAGTAGTATTCCATCATGTATGTGTACCACGTCGTCTTTATCTGTTTCTCTGTTGATGGACATTTTAGGTTGCTTCCATGTCCTGGCTATTGTAAACAGTGCTGCAGTAAACATTGAAGTTCATGTGTTTTTTCAAATTATGGTTTTCTCTGGATCTATGCCTAGGAATGGGGTTATTCAATCATATGGTAGTTCTATTTTTAGTTTGTAAAGGACCCTTGATTCTGTTCTCCATAGTGGCTGCACCAGCTTACATTCCTACTAACAGTGTAAGAAGGGGAACTTAGTTCTAAGGGGACTTAATAATAACAAAAGAATATTGTTTTTCCTATGTTCTTCCTGTGTTATGGCTATTCTTTTCTATATTATGATGAGTTAATTATAAATTGCCATTTACTCTTTAAAAATTTTTGTGTTTAATATTACAGCAACATTGAAGCACACAAATTCTCCCATTCTGATACTTCCTTTGTGTGTCTGTTCTTGTGCTATTTGTCCAAATGTATATTCTTGTGTTCTGTGCTTTGTAGTTGTAAAAGCGTTTTTATGTTTTATATATTGTGTGTGTATAGATGTAACAGCGTAGAAGAGTCCAGTGGTGTCTCAGTAATTTGAGCCACAGAGTCTAAGTTTTCAGTTTCTCTTCGTGTAGCCGTGTGGAAGGGGAAGAGCCAAGGGCCGACCGTGTCCTCTGCTGTTCGGCTCATTTATCCCGGCATGGCTGGGCTCCCCCCTGCCCTTCTGGTGGCTCACAGACACCCTGCCTGGCAGACCCGGTTCTCTCTCCTGTCACCCGGCCTCCTGGCGGGCATGCTGGCACAGCTGAATAACTTCCTTCCAGAAACGCTTCCTGCTTTTCACCCCACCTTCTCCTGGTCTTCCTGGGGTTTCATGGGCCCCCTTCTGCCTTTGCCTGCTCATCCTCTGCCGCCCCCACCCTGCCCATCCTCCAAGTATCTGGGCTCTAGGCTTGACTGTGGGATCCTCTGCCTATATTTTCTCCACAGTGGCCTTATTTGGTGACACAACTTTAAACACCTCTCCCCCAAGTCCCAGAATTATTGTCCAGCTGCTCATTCAGTAGCTCTAATCTTAGATCTGTCAGGCTTCTTACTGTCAGAACTCCTTTTTTTTTTTTAGTTTTTATTTATTTGTGTATTTTTGGCCGCTCTGGGTCTCTGTTGCTGCTTGAGGACTTTGCTCTAGCTGCGGCAAGTGGGTGCTGTTCTTCATTGCAGTGCCTGGGCTTCTCTCATTGCAGAGCAGGGCTCTGAGGCACGCAGGCTTCAGTAGCTGTAGCTCCCAGGGTCTAGAGCAGAGGCTCAGTAGTTGTGGCACATGGGCTTAGCTGTTCCGCAGCATGTGGGATCCTCACGGACCAGGCATCGAACCCGCGTCTCCTGCACTGGCATGTGGATTCTTTACCGCTGAGCCACCAGCGAAACCCCCTGTCAGAATGCTGATGTGGACGTTTTCACATTTCGGAGGTTAAGTGACTTGCCCAGGGTCAGACCCCTGTTAGGCAGTGTGGCTGGGATTGGAATAGAGGCGGTATGGCTCCAGGACTGCCCCTTGCACACACGGGGGTGTGTTGCCTCTAAGAGGAAGTGGAATTATACTGAGGAGTACTTTAGTTCACTGAGATTGAATTGTTGTGGTGTAAGTTAAGCTGGATAAACTGCATGTCTATCTGAAAGCAGATAGGGTTGGACCTTTGTTTTATAAAAATTCTGATGACTTCTTAAAACAATAAAAAAAAAAGGTAGAAGGAAACCTGGATTATAATTACAACCTAGGTGTAAGGCAGGCCATCCTATAACAGAAATTAGAAACCTATAAGACAGGCCTTTTTAAATGACTGTATACCAAAAATACCGAGAAGTCTGCAGATGAGCAGTAGACTGGGGAAAATAGTTTGAGTGCCAGTGATATCGAAGAGCACTTCTACATTGACAAGAAAAAGAGAACACGTTAGAAAAATGGGCAGAATCTTAAAAAATGACAGTGGACAGAAGAGCAGATCCAGGTGAGCACTGACCGGGAGGCAGGTCCTTAGACGTCTTTTGTCCAGGGTCCACGGCTCCCAGGCCGGTGCCTCACAGAGACCCTTCCTGCTCCCCCAGTCATGCGGCTCTCCCCCAGAACCCCTGCCAGCGCCGTGCTCCCCCTCCAGGCATGCAGTCACACTCGGTCCTGGTACATCCGAGTAGTTATTGATATTTAGTCCTGCCCCTGTGTCTCGCCCCAGGGAAGGAATGGTGTTTTCCTGTCATCTCTTCCTCAGTGCCTCGCGTAGAACCTGGTACACCGGATGCATTCAGTTAATATTTCTTGAATCAAAAAGAAAAAGATGCTGAAGAGAATAATCAGGAAAATGCAAATTAACACAGCAATGCATTAGTACTACCCTTAGCAAAAACAGAAGAAGAAAAGGTATGGGCTTGCCCAGTGGCTCAGGGGTAAAGAATCCGCCTGCCAATACAGGAGGTGCAGATTCGATCTCTGGGTTGGGAAGATCCCCTGGAGAGGGAACTGGCAACCCAGTCCAGTGCTCTTGCCGGAGAAGCCCTGGTGAGCTACAGTCCATGGGGTCGCAAAGAGTCAGACCCAGCTGAGCACACACACAGTGTCACTAGCTGGAAATAGGGGAAGTGTCTTCTTACGTACCGCGGGCAGCAGTGTGAGTTGTTCAGACTCTGGGGAAGGCATTCTGAGGATATCTAGTAAAGTTAAAGAAGGCGTGTCCAGGAGTAGCACTGCCACTCCTGGAAACCTAACTTACAGGAACAAAAGCACCAATGTTGTAAGGGCACGTATACAGGGTGTATGTTTTATAACCTGCTATCCATCACAAATGACCGGAAGCGGTGAATGTCTGTTCCCCGTTAGCAGAAGCACCAACCTGTGGTGTTCCCACATGGAAAGATTTGAGCCGCACAGTGACTTGGGAGATTTCCATGAAGTGCTATGGTGAGAAAAGTAAGATTCACAAAAGGTTGGATTATATGATCCTATTTTTGTGAAATCAGGAGCCAGAAAAGTTTGGGTATATATGTAAGATCTCAGTATATAGGTGTGTGTATATATTTGGGTAACACTCCACACTCTAGGTTCTTAACATGGCTTAATGGATGATGAAATATAGTAAGAGGAAGACAAAAACAAATTAAAAGGTACTAAGCAGAGTCATTTATAGGGTGCATGTGCGTGTGGATGATACACAAGACAAGCACAGATGTCCTGGCAAATGCAAAAGTGTTCACACTCCCAGTAATGGAAGTTCCTGATTTATCCCTCCCCACCTCCCCATACATTTCTCCTTTGGTAACCACAGGTTTGTCTTCAAAGCCTGTGAGTCTGTTTCTGTTGTGTAAATAAGTTCATTTGTATCATTTTTTAAAAATTAGATTCCACATATGAGTGGTACCATGTGATAGTTGTTTTTCTCTGTCTGACTTACTTAGAATGATCATCTCTGGGTCCATTCATGTTACTGCAGATGGTATTATCTCATTATTTTTTATGGCTGAGTAGTATTTCTTTGTGTATATGTACCACATCTTCTTTATCCTTTCATCTGTTAATGGACATTTAAGTTGCTTTCATGTCTTGGCTAATGTAAATAGTGCTGCAATGACTATAGGAGTTCTTCCATCTTTTTGAATTAAGAGTTTTCTCCAGATATATGCACAAGAGTAGGGTTGCTGGATCATATGGTAGCTCTGTTTTTAGTTTCTTAAGGAATCTCCATACTGTTCTCCATAGTGGCTGCACCAGTTTACATTCCCATCAACAGTGTAGGAGAGTTTCCTTTTCCCCAGCCCCTCTCCAACATTTGTTATTTGTAGACTTTTTGATGATGGCCCTGCTGACTGGTGTGAGGTAAAAAATATTTTTTATGATTGAAGTTGCAGGTATCCAGTGTTATAACCCAATGTCTGTATACACTGGAGAGTGACAACCACCCCAAGCCTGGTTACCATCTGTCACCACACAGTTGAGCCCCTTCGCCCATTTGCCCTTCCCCTCACTTCTCACTGTATATTCATTTGTAGGTGGTGGGAAGAGGGAGCATGCTCTGTCTGTTTGTTTTAATTCTTACAAACTTAACCATTCAATCAAGTACTTCTGAAGTGAAAAAGTAAATGTAATAAAGACACAAGATATTGACTGCCTTATAAATTTAAATTCCACTTATAACAGTAATTAGTTTTACTCCTAGAATTATATATTTGTACCTTCTCTTCTATATCTGAATCATAGTTCAATTCAAAACGAACCAGAATGTGAACATTTTAAAAACTGTCAAATGTTGCAATTTAACGTGTTCTTATTTCTTAGACAACTTTCGAGCGGGGACTGGAACTCCATGCTAAAGTCACGATTTTTGCAGAGGGCTGCCACGGACACCTGGCCAAGCAGCTGTACAGGAAGTTCGACTTAAGGGCCAGCTGCCAGCCGCAGACCTACGGAATCGGGCTGAAGGAGGTACCTGCATTTGCTGGTGTAATTTTAATGTGGCAGGATGAAGCTTACACTCATTTGTGTTGTCATGTAATTATCATTAGTCGGAAATGTTCACAATGACTGAAAATATTTGGGATATTTTTCAACGGACTTCCCTGGTGACTCAGACAGTGAAGCGTCTGTCTGCAATGCAGGAGACCCGGGTTCGATCCCTGGGTTGGGAAGATCCCCTGGAGAGGGAAATGGCAGCCCACTCCAGTACACTTGCCTGGAAAAATCCCATGGATGGAGGAGCCTGGTAGGCTACAGTCTATGGGGTCACAAAGAGTCAGACATGACTGGGTGACTTCACTTTCTTTCAAGGGGCTAGAGAATATTGTTAATCAAATTTCACTATTATATAAATTGTGTCTGCATGTTCTAATTGTTTTATCAAATGTTGATTGAAATAAGTCTTGAATTTGAAAATATTTGTGATGTTAATTTTTTTTCATTGTAATTCCATTTCCCTATAGGATTTGAACTGTTATCCATATGCTCTTTTTAAGATGACCACATCCTGTAAGAATTGCTTATTCAAAATTATAATGTAAATATAATTTAGTTCATGGAATACCCACTCAATATATTTAATCTGCAGCATACATTTTTATTAGGTTAAATGTATATTTTCTCAGTTTATTCAATCTCTAGTCTGTTTTCCGAAACCTTAGGTTTATTAGCATAAAAGTTTCATTATAATTCTTTTGTTAAAAATATTTTTGGGGGTAAAACTCAGAAAGGTTCGAATTCTGTACATAACTAGATTTGTTATATTGTGAATAAGGGCTTGTTTGGGCAGATTGCTTCCTTTGTGGCTCAGTTGGTAAAGAATCCACCTGCAATGCAGGAGACCATGGTTCGATTCCTGGGTCAGGAAGATCTGCTGGAGATGGTATAGGTTACCTACTTCAGTATTCTTGGGCTTCTCTTGTGGCTCAGCTGGTAAAGAATCTGCCTGTAATGTGGGAGACCTGGGTTCAATCCCTGGGTTAGAAAGATTCCCTGGGAAAGAGAAAGGCTACCCTCTCCAGTATTCTAGCCTGGGGAATTCCATAGACTGTATCTTCCATGGGGTCGCAAAGAGTCAGACATGACTGAGCAACCTTCACTTGGCAGATTCCACTTAACACTATGTGATGTCACATAAAATCTGATTTTTAGATAGTATTTCACATGGAAATAGTTGTATAAAATTTAGACCTTACCCTTCTGAAAGTAGGATGATCTATTTGCTTCAGATGGGGAGAAGGCAGTGCAGGAGGAAATAAACTTTTCTACTAAAAACTAACATCTGTCCTGTAAAGTAGCAGCTCTGACGTGCAGGGCTCAGTGCAGTTTCTGAGGCAAGCACTCCCACGAGGCCCCCACCTGGATCCAGGTGTAGGTGGCTGCCAGCACCTCATCCCCTCTATGGCGTTTCCTCAAGCACGAACACCTTACCCATTTGAGAACCTGATTAATGTCTTAAAACATTCCTGACTTTCCTAACTAGTTTCTTTACTTCCCTTCATCCCTGCAGTTTGCTGGGATGTTTGAAATGCCTTTTATGTGTTTCTCTTATTACAGTTTTCCACTGTAACTTCATAAATAAAACATAAAACTTAGCAGGTTTTGTACATGTGGTGACATAAAATATCTAAATAATACACTAGGACCCTTTTTTTTTTTAAGTTATGGGTTATTGATGAGAAGAAGTGGAAACCTGGGAGAGTGGATCACACCGTTGGCTGGCCCCTGGACAGACACACCTACGGGGGCTCGTTCCTCTACCACCTGAATGAAGGGGAGCCCCTGGTAGCACTTGGCTTTGTGGTGAGTCATGTGCCCGTGATGGGAAATTCCACTGTGAGAGTCAGTGCTCCTCAGTGTTACAAAACCAGGGTGTCAGATCTGGAGAATGTAAAAGGATAATCATGTAAAGCTTCCTTTCTACTTTTATCCGTGCATGAAATGCTTATGGCCGTTGTCAACATCAGTCCACTTCGCTACACGCCAGACCATGTGCTGGGTGCTTCCCTGGGAATCCTGTTCCATAAGATTCCCATGAAGTCTGTCCATCCTTATTTTACTTATGGGAAAACTGAAGTTCACATAGGCGAAACAACCTTCCCAAACACACCCATTAAGTGACAGAGACAGGACTCCCGCCCAGACCTGTCCTACCTGAAGCCCGTGTCCACTGAGGCACGCCATCACTGGAAATGCAGTCCACAGCATTGAACCTGTAATTTTCAACAGGAACCTTTTCTCCCTCTTGGTCACTTACATCTTTGCAATAAATTATATCTTGAACATTACAGGGAATGGAAAAACAATATGAGTTACTGCACCTTGCCGTTGGTTGCAGCTTTATAGTTTCAATGTCGATTAGACTTGTATATGATGTTAAATTTGTGCGCTATTGGTGTGTTTAGTGCATTCCTTTTATTTTTTTATAGTGATTTAATCTTCTCAGAGCAAAAAAGGGTTGGTTATTAATTTCAGCATTTTGTAATACCATGTAAAATATAACCTCCATTATTTCTTGCCCTCTTTATAAGTATGATTATATTCAGTTTCTTAATTTTTGCCTCAGTGTACTGTATAGAGCTTATTAGTTGATGTCTAGAGTTGGTGTTGATAAATGAATAATAAATTATTACAACTCCTTTTGTAGACACATAATGCATGACATCTACCTACAAATATTTTTTAATTTTGATTTTGATTTAGAGAGTACAGTGATTTATCAATATCTTCTAAGTATTTTAAGTTTTGCAAGTTATAAAATCATGGCATCTATTGTTTGCCCTTCTTTTCCAAAGAGATTTTATTCCAATTATTTAATTATATTTGAATCATTGAATGTATTTCTGTAAGTCCTTTGAGAATAAGAATTTTAATGTATATGTTTTCTGATAAATAATTGCTCATACTTCATCTTGATATAATTTGAAATAGCAATGTCTCATTTAAATATAAACATTTTAAGGTTGGTCTGGACTATCAAAACCCGTACCTCAGTCCATTTAGAGAGTTTCAGAGGTGGAAACACCACCCCAGCATCCAGCCAACACTGGAAGGTGGGAAGAGGATTGCCTATGGAGCCAGAGCACTCAATGAAGGTGGCCTTCAGGTAACTCTGCCTTCTCTTTTATTCCTGATTTCTGTATTGTGAATGCAATGTCGAAACATGAGGTCACAACCCTAGGTAAAGAATAGAAGGTTATCTCATAGGGAGAAAATTTAAGTAACCAAGCAAAGCATCCTAGTATTTGTAAAACTGTACCTACCACACCAGAGTTAAATAAATTATACCATGGATTTGGTTTTAAGGATATACTTGTTTCTAGAGAAAAATTCATGGGCCTTTTTTTGTTTGTTGGTTTGTTTTTAACCAGAAAATTCAAACAAGATCTTCTCCTTTATTCCTTAGCTAGCTGCCAGGAAAGTCAAGGACGATAGTAGTTTTCAGCAAAGGTAATTAATTCATCTCAACTACCTAGTAATATCCATGCCCTTTAAGTGGCCTCTGCTAAGTTTTTACCCTGTGTCCTATTTTAATGTTCAAAATTAGAACTACTTCAGAAATTGGATATCTTTTTTAATTTATTGTAAAAGTAACAAATAGATCATAGAAAATTGAGAAAAGTTAACTTTAAGTGAAGTTCTAAATACATTCATAAAGTCAAGTAAAATCACAACTAAATTATGAATGGAATTGCTAGAGTTCTATAATAACACTGTTCCTAAGTTCCATTGCTACAGGATTACCTCTCATGAGGTTTTTTTTCTAGAGTAGTTACTTATTTGCAGTAATTTTTGTTAAATTGCCAGTGTTCAAGCCCATTAAACTCTTTTGAATAATGTCCACAATAGCTACTGCCACCCTGATGCTACTCTTTAATTTCTAGTATGAAGGCTTCTGTATACTCAACAGTACATACAGATTCATATTTACATCATCTGCCTGTTCACTTCAACGTCCCAGATGATCTTTAGATGGGCAGGAAGAGATGATCCTCACCTGCCCCCCCCACACTCACATTTCTTACCTAAGTTTTCTGATTTAATTAGTCAGAGATTTGGAAACTCCGATTAAGTTTTTGAAGACCCTTAAGATGCAAAATTTGAGAATATTGGATTTTATTTTGAGTATTACAAGTATTATTTTGAGTATAACAAGTATTACATGACTTTTTATTTTTATTTCCTTAGTCTGTACCAAAGCTTTCTAATTATTTAGCCCTGTTCAACAGTTTTCCCAGGATACATTTCTCAGTACGAGTTTCCCTGGGCCCCTAGCTCCTTAACAAGATGCTCAGCTGCCAATAACTCCTCCCACACAGGTTGGGGTCCTCCCAGAACTGAAAAACACGCATTTCCCTTGGACCACAACACTTAGGACGTAAGCACCCCTTGGGAAAAATTTACACTAGCAATCCATGTCCTTTTATTAAACTTCCGTCTTCTGGTTCTTGAATCAAATTTAGGAATAGCAAGCCTTATCTGAGAGAAGCGTTGTCAGGATCAGGTTCCTGACCGTTCTCTGTTTTCAGCCCCTGGCATTCTTTCTGTTGTCTGCTCTGTGGTCCTGACTTTGTGCTCTTTTGTCTCTGTGGTTCTGCTACTGAGGTGGTCTGAGAACCCCAGTCATCAGTGACCCCACACGTACTGTGAAAGGCCTGGCCCAGCCCTTTTGCCAGCACTCCGTTTGCTCGTCACCCCCGCTCCCTCGAGGTTAGGCTTCTGTAACTGCTGGGAGCTGGGGCAGCGTGCCCTCGGTGTGGCGGCTGGTGGCAGGGTCTCCCTGTGGGCCTCCTCGCCTCGGGGTCCCTTTCAGCTCCATCTGGCCGACTGTCACCACCCACCACTTTCTCAGCAGAGACTCATGGCGTACTTTAGGAAGGTTCCAGAGAAGGAAATAATACATGACGAGGAAAGAACCACGCCACTGACTGTCTCTTTTTTCATTTTTACTCTGTAGATTAGATTACAGTACATTTTCCCGTGCTAACTATCTGCAACTTAGCTGCTACATTCTGGGACTAAACCAAAACATCACCACCTTTGATTACATTGTTTTTCATCAGAAATGTGTACTGAGGTCCAAACAATCATCTTAAAATTTTATTTTGAAAAAAAATTTAAAAAATAAAAAAAATTTATTTTGGAAATTCAGTTTACTCTTAGGTTAAGTAAAATATATTATTTAGGGTGGTAGCTAATTGTGGTGTTGCCATGATTACAATCTAGGTTTCCACCCCTGAACACCAAGGTAAAACAAAAGGGCACGTAGAGTGAAGATAACATTTTTGGTAAATCCTGTGTTACCCAGAATGCCTATAAAAGCAAATCACATTTTACATTATAGTCTTTCAGGTTTAGAGAATATTTTTAATTATGACATGGATATGTATAAATAACATTTTATCTAAGTGTTGATGCTCTGGTCTTACATAGGTCTCATGTAGGTAAGTCATGGGGAGGGAGGGAAAATCCTTAATAGGATTTAAGGAATCCTTAAAGAGGGACAGTCCTGACCCTCACTTTCGGGGAAAAACTGCTTTTGCTCCGATTTTTCCTTTCACTGTATTCATTTTCATGTGATTTTTTTTTTCAGTTTTTCTTTACAGCTTTAAAAGAGGCTATAGTGTATTTAGTTTTAGAGTGTTGGTTGAATCGGAACTAACAAATGTGCTTTCTTTCTTTCCTCAGTCTATACCAAAGCTCACCTTCCCTGGGGGTTTACTTATTGGTTGTAGCCCTGGTTTCATGAATGTTCCCAAGATCAAAGGCACTCACACAGCAATGAAAAGTGGTATTCTGGCAGCAGAATCTATTTTTAATCAACTAACTAATGAAAATCTCCAATCAAAGACAATAGGTAAGAACTTCCTGTGTATTCTCAGGTCTTCACAGGGACATTAAGAAAGAAGCTATTGAAACATACACTCAGTGTGCAGATAGAGGAGGACAATAAATACAATTAAGAGTCTTTGTCTTTATGTTTATATCACCGGATACTGGAAGATGCCCGCTGTGTCTGTCCTTTACACAGAGCGCTAAGATGCGTGCTGGCCAAAGAAAGCTGTGGCCCACTCACCACGAGCGGGGTTTTTCCGGCCACCTTCTCGTTCATGAACGTGGAAAGCGGAACAGTGCCTGTGGTGTCCTGGCCCCAGGAACACCATCAGCATGAGGGCCCCCCACACACATGCCCAGAGAGACCCTCGCCAGCAGCACTATCAGCCTGAGGGCCCCACACCACATTACACACACGCCAGCACCCCTAGGTGTTCGCTTCTGGGCAGGCAGAGGAGGCATGGCTGCAGGCTCCACAGCCTGGCCCAAGGACCCCTCAGGAGGCCCTTCGTCTGCGGACAGCCTCTCCTCAGGCAGTCTCATCTCTTCCCCAAGAACAGCGGGCCTGCCCCACCCTCTGCCGTCACCTCCTTCCACTCTCCAGGTCCTGGGGGCGCCAGGCACCCCTGAGTTCCCTGCGCCTCTGCTCAGATCTCTCTAGGGGCTCCATGTTGATCAGTGAATCTGCAGCACACACACGCGTGTACACACGTATCTACACATACACATATGTACTCACACACACAGCACTCCCAGCCCCAGCCCCTCTTTCCATGTGGTATTTTCCACCTTTTGGCGGAATTGATCAACTTTATCTCCTGCCTCCTGGGTGGAAACTCAAGAGCAGCAGCTTCATTCCCTGTGAACCACAAACAACAGTAGCAACTCAATACTTGATTTGCGCCGTACTCCACAGTCCGGTAACTTGATGCTTGCCCAAGTAGGTTGTACCTTGAGGTGTCCTGGAGACGTGGAGGCCTGGGCAGGGGACTGATCCTCACCAAGGGTGTGTCCCCAGGTGCTCTCACTGCACACGGGGTTCCTCACTGGAAGGGTGGAGTGAGCAGGTGGAGGAGCGCAGGTGGAGGAGCAGTGGGGCTGCTTACCGCGGAGCTCACAGCAGGTAACCAGAAGGAAGACATCTGTTAGAGGTTAAACGCACACCCCGAGCTGTAGGCGTTGTCCGGCACTGTCATCCCCTAGGGCTGTCACAACAAAGCACCACAGGCTGAGCGACTTGCTTACTCTGAGTTGCCCATGCCAGCAACTCTTAAGTGAAGGTGTTGGCAGGACCACTCGGTCTCCAGGTTGGCTTCCAGCTGCCGGGAGCCCCTGGCATTCTTGGCTCCTGGCACAGCAACTTCAGCATCTGCCCTGGCTTCCCCTGAAGTCTTCTGTGTGTGTGTCATCTTGTAAGAACACCAGTCATTGGACTGAGGGCCCAGTCCACTCCAGCATAACCTCATTTTAACTCATTGCACCAGCAGCGACCCTATTCTCACTCCGAGACAACCCAGCGTGACCCAGTCTGAGACACCTCAGGGTTACGACATCAAAATACCGTTTTGGGTGGGTACAGTGCAACCCATAGCAGGTAGAAGGGTTTCACTGATCAGTTCTGAAATTTCTCACTTTCATAAGTAGCATGAGCTCTCTTAGCTTCCTTTTCAGTTTCACTGAATTTTGAAACTTATTTCCCATGCTACCAGCTTGGCCTTACTGCCTTGCCTGTTAACACATCAAATAGGTATCTTTTTGGATGATGTCAACATTAATGCATAAAAGATTCTTCAAGTGTAGTCTTACATGACCACCTGCTTTTTGTAATTACATAAGATGCATCACTTATTTTGGTAGCTAAGTACCTTGACAGTTAGACTCCTTGAGGCAATTTAACACAGTATTTCGTGTGGTTTTTTTTTTTGTTTTTTTTTTATAAACAGGGCTTGACGTAACTGAGTACGAGGACAATTTGAAGAAGTCGTGGGTGTGGAAAGAGCTCTATGCTGTCAGGAACATCCGACCGTCCTGCCACAGCATCCTGGGTTTGTACGGAGGGATGATTTACACTGGAATCTTCTACTGGATATTCAGGGGGATGGAGCCCTGGACTCTGAAACATAAAGGTGATTCTGGCCTCTATGAGCATGAGCATTAGTCATTAACTCAGGAACGGGATCCAGTCAGTGGGAAGGAGGGGAGTTTACTGTTCTAAACTTGCCATATGAGATAAATGAATTCAATGTCGTTAAGAGAACAGGGTATTGTTGTAAGGGGGCTAAAATCTTGCTTCTTCAGTATAATATTTACAGGTTATTAAATGTCTAAGAAGTACTTTAAAATTAATTCTATTTTTACTAAAAATCTTCCTCAAAACTTTGGAAGGGTCTGACTCAGATCAGCTCAAGCCAGCCAAGGACTGCACACCCATTGAATATCCAAAACCAGACGGGCAGATCAGTTTTGACCTCCTGTCATCCGTGGCTCTGAGCGGTACCAACCATGAACACGACCAGCCAGCACATCTGACCTTGAAAGACGACAGCGTGCCTGTAAACAGAAACCTGTCCGTATATGACGGGCCCGAGCAGCGATTCTGCCCTGCAGGTTAGTACGTTCATTTCCACGTGTGCTCCAAGGAGCTGCTTTAACATGTCAAAACCAGGCTTCCGTTATTTTAAGAAATTTCTCCTCCTAATTGCTTAGAAATTGTAAATGGCTCCTACATCTAGATTCCTTTCTAAAACCATTATTCTTACAGTTCTTACTCTCATTAGCAAGTTAGAGTAGGGATTTCTTAAGCCTAACTTAGATGGCATTTCTCAGAATAATTGTTTACCTTCAGCCCAAGGTGAGGGTTGTGGGAAAAAGCACCAAACATCTCTCTCCATATTCATGCTACTTAAAAATCATTTTTGTCACAGCTGCTCCTGTATGTATGTGTGTATGCTTATCTGTTTAGTTGCTAAGTCGTGTCCGACTTTGTTACCCCACTGACTGCAGCACACCAGGCTTCTGTCCTTCACTATCTCCCAGTTTGCTTAAGTTCATGTCCATCCAGTCAGTGATGCTATCTAACCATCTCTGCCACTCTCTTCTCCTTTTGCCAGCATCAAGGTTTTTTCCAATGAGTCAGCTCTTCACATCAGGTAGCCAAAGTATTGGAGCTTCAGCTTTAGCATGTCTTTCCAGTGCATGTTCAGGGTTGATTTCCTTTAGGATTGACTGGTTTGTATGCTGACATACACACACACATATACACATACGGTATGTATGTAGATGTCGTAAAATACTAGATGTTGGCCACATGCAGCCGAGGGAGATGCTTCCAGACTGTAAATCCATCACAAATACTGTATTTTTTAGTGCTAAGCTTTCAACTAGAATTATAGTAGGAAGTGGTCTCCAGTGGTGGTGAAACAGACAGTACTCAGGTGTGTGAAAACCAGTTTACTCTGGACAGGGGCAGGGCCGTGACCGTCTCTGACTTTCGCTCCTAACCCTGTCATCTCACTGGCTTGTAAATTGAGGATAAGAGCTGATCTTTGCAGCCATGGCCACATACATATGAGCAGATCTCATTTTATTGCACTTGGTGGATGTTGGGCTTTTTAAAAATTGAAGATCTGTGGCAATCATGCATTGAACAGGCTGACTGGTGCCATTTTCCCAACATTTGCTCACTTCACAGGTCACATGAAATTCTTGCAAAATTCCACACTTTCTCACTATATTTGATGTTGAGATCAGTGATTTCTGATGCTACCACTGTGACTGACCAAAGGCTCGGATGGTAACATTGTAATGTAACTGCTACATACACAGGAAACAAAACCCCCATGATGCACTATTTGATCGTATTTGTGGCGTCTCCTGTGCAGGCCTGTATATAACATCACATTCAGAAACTGCTGGAGGCAGAGTTCCCTTGTTAGTTACACCAGCTAGCCACCTACTGCCACACCTTCTGCTCTTACCACATTTGATTTAAAACAACAGCAAATGCACACACCCAGATCTTTGTAATCTTCTCTGTTGGTAAATGTTCCCTCAGCAAACCTTGTAGGTTTCTCTGGCTAGTTTCTCCAGGACCTCGGCTTCTACTTTGAAGTTAGTTACTGCACCGTGTCTATTTTTCCTCACAGGAGTTTATGAATTTGTCCCTGTGGAACAAGGTGATGGATTTCGGCTACAGATAAATGCTCAGAACTGTGTGCACTGTAAAACATGTGATATTAAGGATCCAAGTCAGAACATTAACTGGGTGGTACCTGAAGGCGGTGGAGGCCCTGCATACAATGGAATGTAAACTGCAGCTGGCTTCAGGGTCTATAAAACAGACGGCAAACTAACTTCCAGTACTTGGAAGTTCACAGGTGTCAAAATATCTTACAACATATTAGTGATCAGTATTCAAAAAATAATTACCAGTGAAATCATTTTATACTAAATTGTCCCATAAAGATTATGACTATTTCTCTTAAATAAAACTTTGTTAAGTGCTGAAGCATCTATTACTTCTCCAATTCTTCCAAGATTCAGCACCAAAAGCAAGATACACCATCAGCCTGTAATGTACATTTGACTCGTCAAGTTCAACACTTCACGTAAAGTGTGTATTATGTTGTAGACCAGAGGCTGGCATCCAGCCCACCACTCTTCTTAGTGTTATGGAGCCCAGCAACACCTCCTGGTTTACATGCTGTCAGTGGCTGCTTCTGAGCTCCAAGCGCAGAACTGAGTAGCTGAGACAGACAGTAATGTCTGACCCTTTAGAGACGCCTGCCAAACCGGAGCCTGTACTGCAGAGAGATGCATCAAAGAACTGAGAAAAACAATACACAGACTCAAGCTTTTGTCTGTTTATTCAAACACGATGTGTCTTTAGGAGTTTAAAAACAAACTGGAGACACCATTATGCTTTGAATAATGCAGAGAGTCACTGAAAAGGGAATCGACGCCATTGTAGTTTGTAACACTGGTGTATTAAAGAGCAAGTCCCTATCCATATTCCTGGACTGTAAACATGGGGAACCGAAGCATCAGAGGGAGCACAGAAGGGATCACACAGAACAGACAAACCGTTAAACTGTCTTCCTCATTCATACAATCAATGCACACTGAAGCAAAACTGAATTCCTCATCAAGCAAACATTTTTGCATAAGCTGCCTTCTCTTTATCTTTCTGTGCCTTTATCTTTTGCTTGACTTTCAGCAATTCTGCCTGGATAGCTGCAAAATAAATATGGAGTATGAGTTACTTCTCAAAACATCCAAAAAATTAGGTTGACCAAACTGATGCTTTAGTATGGTTTAAAAAAAAAAGATAAACCTCTTCTTAAGAGTAACTGAGCCCTATTAACAGAGCATAATTTAGAAGTGCCTTCTCCCTTCCATTAGAGGTGGCTCTAAAGTGCCTCCCCTGTTTCATTTTAGCAAATGATTCAAGATATATTTCATATCTAGACTGATGATCACTATTTGTAGTTGGTTTACTTGGAAAGAAGCTTATTTTTGTCGCAGCTTTCCAAAACTTTCCTACAACATATCCAGTAGCTATTCGGGATTATATCCACATTTAGCTTAAGGAATGGTCCCAAACATTAATTAAATCTGCCATAAACACTATCTTCTAATGCTGCTCCTTCATGTGGCATTACCAGACAGTAAAGCAGAGAGTCCAGATACGTGCAGATGAGTGTTCTGGACACAGACTAGACCAAGCTGAGGGCGGGGTCCTGACTCAGGACTTTCACTCCAGAAACTGCCAACTTACCTTTATCTTCTGGTGCGATCTCCTGAGCTTTCTTAAGATCAGCCTTTAATTGGGAGAAAAAAAAAAAATAATAGATTATGATTTATGAAAAGTTTCTTTTTTGTAATTAAAATTTAGAACAAAGTTTTACCAATGCTTGATCATATTCTTTTAATCCTTGCCATCCTTGGGCTCTACGGTACAGTGCTTTGGTATTTGATGGGTCTATTTCAAGGGCCTAAAAAAAAATTATAAAATTATTATTTTTTAATCCAAACATTGAATACTAAATATATATCCTAGATTTCAATTTACTGCCTGTCAGCTCCAAATCGATTTGCTTTGTGACAACAGCGCTAGACAGAGAGCCTTCTCTGCCTGCTGACACGTTGTTTGGTCAGCAGAGGGCGCCAAGGGGATGCAGGTGAGGAACCTGTGTCCCATCGAGGCTCCTGCAGGCAGGCTCCTCAAGCACCCAACCTTCCTGCCATCCAGTGAGGCCAAGCCACCCCCTCCGCAAGGACTCTGGATCTCAGCCCAGCCCAGAGGGAGTGGGCACTCCTATGTTATACATACAGATGCACATATAAATACATTTATACCTGCTGTTGCCATATTCAGGGTTCTCTTTACTAGTCAACCTCCATTATTCCAATTCCCCCTTATATCTATTTTATAGTAAACTTTCTCTACAGAAATTACTATGTAATACCTATCTTCTGATTGGGCCCTAGCTGATAGGAAAAAATATTCTGAATAAAAATTTGTATATACTCATTTAAGCTGACATCCAGGGTTTTTCAGGAATATGAGTAATTAATAGGCTTCTCCTCTCAAACAAACATTTTAAAAATAATATATTTATTTAACATCTTTTAAAGGTCAACTCTCAGATTTTACTGAAAAGGGTATATTACTTGCCTCGCAAAGGTCAAAAAAACAATCCAGAGTAAAGAATCACCTTGTTCTGCTGCCTACTCCCTTCTAAATATACTCTTACACCTTATTCCACCTACCCCATAAATTGGGACCTCATTTCATTTCTACTTGCTCAGGCATAGCTGACTGTGTACACCAATTAATGGGCAATATACATAAAAATGAATGGAGGGGGTCTTTCTGAAATGTATGTTCTCATCTGGAAAACTTGATCAAACACACTGTCCTAACTGCTGTGCTGAAGGAGGGACGGGGGCCACTTTCCAGCTCTCTCCATCAGCACTGCTGACATCCCCATGAAGGCAGGCAACCTTCCTGTGTGTTCCAACAGCACTCGCCCCCCCAGAAGAGTCTTGACAACCCTCAACTGAAACTGACTCCCTCTCCCACCAAGTAAATTCCTTGACGGGAGGGTCTGTCTTTCAATCAAAACACCTAAGCGCCCATCAGCTGCTTAATCTGTGCCCAACACTGCACTTAAAATGCTTTACACACATAACACAGTCTTCATAACAATCCCAGGAGGAAAGTAGTATTTCCACTTAACACAAAGAAATTAAGACTCTAAAATTAAGAACTTCCTCAAAATCAAAAAGTGACAATGGTCTAAGAGAAAAACTATGTCTGCTGACTGACTCCACAGCCACATTCTTAATCATTCCTGGGTTTATCTTCCAATGTCTGGCACATAATAGGTGCTCAATAATTGAGCTGAGAAAGACAGTATCTTCATGGAAGTTAAGTGATTTCGTGTTATAAGCTAAATGAATGGTTTGAGAGGAAGAACTGAGATCCATAATATTCAGATGTAAGAACATCAACAGACTCACCTCCAAACAGCTATCGACTGCGCCCTGCCAATCAGACATCTTCAGTTTGCAAGCACCAATATTCAGCACACAGCTCAAAGCGACAGGCTGCAGCTTTGCTCCATCTGCATCCTCAGCAACAGCTCTGGAGCCTTCCACATACCTGGAGAACACCCCCGTACAAGCAGCAAGCAACAGCCCGTTAAGACACTCTGCCTCTGACTCACTCATGACTCATTTTCAGTGCTGATACAAAAGTTCACCAATGCTAATATTAATATTCTTAATGCTTTCCTTTAGAAGGTTTTTGTTCCAACTTTTTTTCCCAGAATGTTCAAAGACACCAACTTAAGAACAATCCCCAAACCTAAAGATTATAAATACTATTAACACTTTTCTATTTATAAAATAAAGGTTTTTATCAACCGCTTTCCAATGTAAATAGGTTTGGAACTAAGGCTGTCATTGCAGGAGAGGGACTGGACTGGGAAAGGTGAAGAAACCTGTGGTGGTAACGCTGACTCATCTTTTACTGTAATTCCCAGCTGTTTCCTATAGTTCCTAACTGAAAGGGGCCCTGAAACAATACATATACCTGGCCCCTATAGTCTAGTTTCTAGAATCTCCCTCAATGAAAAGAATCTGGGCTCCTGAGAGAAATTCAGATCTGGACATGAGGTTAAATGTAAGATGAGCGCGGACCATCTTGTGGCAGAAAGCAGGCAAGTGCTCCCAGACGGAGAGGGACGTGTCAGACGGGTGCAGCCAAGGGGCAAATCTGAAACCTCACAGCCTCAGAAAGAATGATGCTAACAGTGAATAGGCTGAATTGAAAAAATAATCCACACATCTATAGCAATACTACAAAAAGGGTAAGAAGTCCTTTCAAACAGAAGAATGACAACTAGTAACTGCAGAATGACTGGTAAAATCAGAAAATCACAGTTCTGCAAGCCTCAATGTAGTAACTGATTCAGGCAAAGGTCTTCAGTGATGCTGAGACCAGTGGATGAAAGCCTAGAAACTTAGTCATACAATCTCACAGCACCACTGCACAGAGGATGTCTTATTTATTAAAAAGGTAAAGGTACTTTTATAATAGAGACATACGACTAACACCACATTAACCAAGTGCCAGAACTCAAAATAGGCCAAACTGCCACGTGCCTTCAGGACATGATACACAAAGGATATAGACACATCATATATCCTCTTGCTAAAATATTTAACCTCAAACTAATCTGGACGAAGCAATAAACACATACGGGTGATATTACCTAAGACAACTGGCTTAGATTCTACAAAATGGAAATGACTTAAAAAAAAGTGGGGATTAAAGATTAGAAAAGCCTTAGCAACATAAAAACAAAGGATACAATGGATACAGGAGTTTAAAAAAATTTTGAGACAACTGGGGACACTTGCATATGCATTACATATTGTATCTATAGTTGTTAGTGTATATTTGGGAGATGTTTTTATGCATTAAAACTAAGTAGAAGAATGTCCTCATTTTGGGGGGAAATACTGGTACTTGCTAAAATATTAAGGGGTAAAGTGTCATGGTATCTACAACTTCCTTTCAAAATGATTGTGCAAAAATAAACGTGGCAGAAGTTAAAATTGGTGAATGCAGATAAAGGTACATGAATATTCATGTACTATTCTTTTAATTTTTCCATATTCTGAAATTTTTCAATTAAGAATCTGTAGGCAACTAAAAAAATGGAACTAAAATTTCAAATACCTGGTTACCCTGTAATAGGCCAAAAATACAAAAAGCAGCTCTTGAATTTCACTTTGTAATTCAATTTACAAGTTCTTAAATGCAATTTATTAAAATTGTTTTATTACCTTAAAACTTTTGTGTATTTTTTAACGGCCATCTCCCATTTCTGGGATTTGAAAAACGTATTTCCAATGTTTTTTAAGTCTTCTGATATTAATAAAATTTTATCTACCTGTAAAAAAGAAAGAATACAAATATGTGGGGTTTGAGTATATAATGCAGTTTAGTGCTAAGTTCTATCTTTAAGACAGACTGACCAAAAAAACTCAAAATTTTAGCACTGGGAATTCCCTGGTGGTGGTCAGGACTCTGCGCTTCCACTGCAGGGGGCATGGTTCCACTCCTGGTCGGGAAGTGAGGATGCCACAATCCACACAGCATGGCCAATAAATAAGTAAAATTTAAAAAATCTTAGTAGTAAATTTTTTTTAGCAGTTAAATTAGTTTGGCCAATCTGAAAGTGTTTGTTAGCTGCTCAGTCATGTCTGACTCTTTGAGACTCCATGAACTGTAGCCAACCAAGCTCCTCTGTCCATGGGATTCTCCAGGCAAGAATACTGGAGTGGGTTGCCATGCCCTTCTCCAGGGGATCTTCCTAACCCAGGTAACCAACCCCAGTCTCCTACATTGCAGGCAGATTCTTTACCATCTGAGTCACCAGGAAAGCCCAAAATCTGAAATTACTCACATCTTTTAAATCCACATCTGCGTCCTCGGGGAAATCTGGGTGACTGTCACCAGATCCATCCTTTGGGAATATTCCCCAATCATCCCCTTCTTTCAGTTCTCCGCATTCTGCAATAACGCACAACTGTAAAAATAACCCTCAATTGTAGAAGCGCACTACTACATTAATGATGATTTTTAAAGGTCTGGGTTTAAAAGCTCTACAGCTGCAGGTCGTGTGCCTACGTGGCTTCCTGGTCGACGCGCCTGCCGTGACTGCAGCAACGCGCTCTGCACACCGCCAGGAGCGCAGCAGCATCCCTACGCCACGGAAGCACTCGCTGCAGCCAGTAACTCGTGTACAGAGGGAGTGGACAGTTCACCGTCCCCTGAGGTGTGGCCCGTGCTTTCCACTGACTCTCCTTCGCACACTGACAGCACACCTCCCGCAGGTCTGACTCTCCAGTTTCCACTCCCAGCCCTGTGCATGCAGGGCACCTGTGATGGCCGTGTTGATCCACAGACATGTAGAACACAAGGCTCTTTGGAGTGACAGGATCGAGTCCAAACCCTTATGTGATTTACATAGGATGAGAGGTCAGGCCAAGGAAAGTTAAATCACAAGAGCAAGGCTAGACCACAAGTTACATGGCAGAGAGGAGACCCAAGGACTCCTGGTTTCCTGCTCTCTGTACTCTGCACGCGTACACATACCGACTCCAAGTTCTACAAGCGTAGGAGACTTTGGTTATTAAAATCAGCAAGACTAAAGTGGAAATAATAAAAGTCTCTTTTTAAACTGCCCTCATCTTTCCCACAGTAGAAAACAGCTTCAAAAAAAAAGTGGCAGGTGCAGGCTTCTAGAACAAGAGCCTTCTGGACATTTTTCAGCTAACAATCACCCTTTTACTCACCCTTCTCTAATCCAGCAGCTAAGATAATATTACCATCCTGTTACTCACTTTGGTAGGTTTTTCACCTTTCACCTCCACATTTTCTAGAATCTTTGCCACACCCATTCCTTTAATCACTTGGCCAAACACTACGTGCTTCCCATCCAAGTGCGGAGTCGGAACGGTGGTGATGAAGAACTGGGAGCCGTTGGTGTTGCTGCCCGCATTGGCCATGCTCAGCAATCCCTCCCTGTCATGCTGCGGGAATAAACCATAAAGAAAACCACGATGAGAGTTCCCGCTCTACTCAACCAACCATTCACAGAAAAGTGTGGGTGAGGGGGTGAGGGGGGCGCTGGAATACCACTTAGAGCATACAACATAGAGGGATTTACTTCGTTATCAAGTGCGACTTTAATTCACAAAACATGAGAGCACTTAACCACTTTTTAAACTTTAAGGAGAGCTTATGAAACCAAATTAAGGTAACAGAAACAACAGTGGGGGCAGGAGTGGTACTCCTAAATTGACCATACTGAGAACATGCTTGGACTTCATCATTAAGATGAAGATGCCACAGGAGGGAAATCTAGTAATTCTGCTTCACCCTGTCTTATGACTGAGGCACTTTTTTTCTGAAAGGCACTCAACAGTGTTCCCACTTTCAGGCCTACATGATGATTCTCTCTTCACACGTCAGAAAAGTTAGGTCCTTTCCTACTTCCCACCCGTGTAACACTCATGTTGGCCCTCCCACCTGAAATGCCTTTTACCCCGAAGCCCAAATCTAATCCAGCTTTCAAGGCCACCAGTGTGCCAGAGAACCACGTGTCCACACAACAGCCCCCTTTCTAAAACGTTACTTTGGTTTCTGGTTGCACTGGGTCTTTGCAGCTCTTGAGCAGGTTTTCTCTAGCTGTGGTGAGTGGGGCCTGTTCGGCTGTGGTGCTCAGGCCCCTCATGGTGGTGGCTTCTCTTACGGCAGAGCACAGGCTCTGGGCGCACAGGCCTCACTAGCTGCAGCACACGGGCTCAGTAGTTGTGGCGTGTGGGTTTACTCACTCTGTGTGGGACCTGCCCGCATCGTGGATCAAACTTGTGCCTCCCGCGTTGGCAGGCGGCTTCCTATCCACGGCACCGCCAGGGAAGTCCACCCTCTTTCTTTTGCTCAACTTTTCCATCACATAATCTGAGTTTTCATCTTTCTGGTACTTTCTTTCTCCCTTCCAAAAGTCTGGTGCTTTCCCCACAATATTAAATATTAACAACTTTATTTCCTCAGCTTCCTCATGCCTTCTTCCTTCCTCACTCATATCCCTCCCTCAAAGGCATCTGTATTTTAGTTCCTTCTAACCAAATCTGAGCCACCTGGCGAGGTCCAGTCTGCCTAGTTCATGCACCCGTTCCCCCATGATGTCTTCCCCAGTAATCCAGACCCTAGGAGTCATACCTCTCTCCTATAGTATACACAGGTCTTGGTCAACTTAGCATGTACTTGCATATTATTACATTATTCTCCAGTTGTCCTATGTGTTTTAATCTTGCCTTTCTGGCAAGATTTTATTCCTTATCATGAAGGTCTTTCCTTTTTATAAACTCTTCAGTGCCAGGGACTGTATCAGCTGCAGGAAATAAACTGCTTAAAACATTGATGACATTTATTCTCAAATGATCCTAATCACCTTGCTCCTGTTCCCCATTTCCAAAAACACATGTTTACTTTTGCTCTTACACGTCCACTGTCATGACTGAATGATACCACACACCCTGATGGGGACCCCAGGGTCACTGAAATTAAGCAGGTGCAGGCGTCACTACGGTCCCTTAGGAGCCTGGACGTTAACCAGATCCGCTCATCTGCAAATGCCCCGACGCCCCAGACAGCCGTGGTTTTGCTGCTCTTCAAATTTAGGCATAAAGATGCACAACTTACCATCCCTCTAATGGGAACATTTTTCCTGGAAACAATTTTGCCATATGCTGGCCATCCATGAAAACTCATTGGCTTTACCGCAGTGGATAAACCTGGATCACACTGAAATAGCTGTTTTATTTTTGCCAATAAAATCATTGTTGGATGAGTTTTTTTTTCATATTAAAGATGTATATTTACAAATATGATACCTTTCACAAATAAAGGAGATCTAAGCACATCTGGGGCATTTATCCTAATTTGACAATCTGACACATGACAACCTTTATAATTAGCAACACACATTTTTGTCTCCTTTACCTTATAGTGGAAATTTTCATCTTCAAATTTTTCACCATAAATGCTTTCTCCACCTGTCCCATTCTGATTTGAGAAGTCTCCCCCCTGAATCATAAATTTCTTGATAACTAAAAAAAAAAAAGGAAAATCAGCATTAGAAACTACACTACAGATGACTACAGCAGTGTTAACTAATGAATGTGTGACAATAAAGACAACTTCTCTCCTGCCCTCCCCACCTATACGCACAACTCTAGACTCTTAAAAAAGCTTTTCCCAATCCAAATCCCCATTAACACTCAGAGAATTAGTTTGTATGGCACCTCCCCTACAACACTGTCAAACCTCAAGACTGGATCTACTAATTTTTCTCCCATAGTACCTTGAGTTTACCTTTCTTTTATAATATGGATCATTAATGACCTGTCTCTTCTAGCAAACAATTAAGAACAGCAACACCGTTTTGGTTCCGTGGTAACCATGTGCATGGCTAGGCACATAATGGTTAACTCAAAAATGCCTACTGAATAAACCAATTATTCCCAAGAGGCTTGTTACAATGTATTGGAATTACTTCTGCAAATGTTACTACTTAACACTGCCACCACATTCAGATTCCCCAGAACTCTGTATCTGCTTGTATGACACTAATGTAGTAAGGAGACACAGCTGGACAATAAAGGGAAAAGGTAAGGAAGATCTGGAAGAATCCATGTGTTTCCTTATGCTCCCTCCTTATGTGAAAGGTCACAGGGTGCCTTCTTCCCCCAGCAAAGAAAAATGCAGCAACATGTGTACAATGTGGCTCCCCAGGAAAGCCCTTGAGAAACTCAGCACCCACCAAGGTTTCTACAGGGAATGATCATGAAGACACTCTCTGCCCAGCAGATACCAAAATTCCACCACATCCTCAAAAGGAAAGCAATTGTTCAGCATAAATCAAACTGTACAGTCTCAGCAGACTAAGCCATGTTACGATTCAGAGAATGGTTAAGTGCTCTGACTTCAGGCAATTCCACCCTTGCAAGCAGACTTGATGGACAGCAGTCTCAGGTCTGCAATGTTAACTCTTCTCCACAGACACTTTATTAGAATACAGGCAACTCCCTGATTTACTGCGTTTTGCAGATACTGTGGGTTTTTTTTTTTCCAACTTGAAGGCTTGTAGCAATTCTGCATCAAGTCTATCAGAGCCGTTTTTCCAACAGCATGTGCTCACCTCCTGTCTCTGTGTCACATTTTGGTAGTTCTTACACTATTTCCAACTTTTTCATTATTATTTGCTACAGTGATCTGGGACCAGTGATTTTTTTATGTTACTACTATAACTGTTCTGGCATTTTTTTAGCAATAAAGTATTTTTACATTAAGATATGTATTTTTCTCCAGATACAATGCTACTTTACACACTTTAATAGACTATAGTATCCTGCACACATAACTTTTATATGCACTGGGAAACCAGAACTTTGTAACTTGTTCCATTACAACATTCACTTTACTGCAGTAGTCTGGAACCAAACCTGCAATATCTCCCTGGTAATGCTTATATCTGGGGCTTCCCAAGTGGTGCTAGTGGTAAAGAATCCACCTGCCAAGAAGGAGACACAGGAGACACAGGTTCAATTCCTGGGTTGGAAAGATCCCCTGGAGAAGGAAATGGCAACCCACTCCAGTATTCTTGCTTGAAATATTCCATGGACAGGGGAGCCTAGTGGGCCATAGTCCACGGGGTAGCAGAGTTGAATCTTGACTAAGCACAAACACACATGGCTTGTATTTTGGTATTTTATTAAACATGAAAGTAAATCAACAGTTTAAGTAATCTAAAATCAATGTTAATTTTTTCTTAATCAAGTTTCTTTAAATACTTATAAAATTGCCAATTAACTTATTTGTTTATTCATTAAATAAATACTGAGTGCCTACTCAGTAATGATACTAGATGCTGAGGACAAAATGGTGAGAAGATGCAGTTCCTCAAATATGGAGCTACTCCATGGGGAGCACCAGCAAATCATCATTAAACAAAAGTGTGACAACACAAGGTGAAAGGTCACCTCTTCATCACATGTCACACCAGGGATCCAAGACATGGAATCTTTAAGTCAGCAGCAGTCTTCCCAAGCAATCCTGCCCAAGAAGTAGGCATAACTTTTTGTCACTAGGCAGTGAAGCTACCCAAGCTCTATTTGTTTATCATGGCCACATCCTGGTGAAGCAAGAGTAACCCATTTCTCAATAAATAAACCTTAGGACCCTCCCATAATTACTTCCACCTTTCACAGCCCAACATCTATGAAACTGACCTACAGTCTCAGATGTTAAAACATCCTTTTGGAAACTAACAGTAATTTGTAACTCCCACCCTCTACTTAGTGTTTTCTTCCCTAACTCCCTAAGGAACAGGACTCAATTACCTCTAAGAAGAATCAGATTAACAAAACGTATACATACTTCTATGGAAAGGACATCCTTTGAAATGGAGAGGTTTCCCAGTGGTGGGTCCAATGCCTTTTTCTCCTGTACACAATGCACGAAAATTTTCTGCAGTTTTGGGTACAATATCTGCAAACAATTCTAAGACAATTCGACCAACTGAAAGAAAAAATAAAATTGTGTCAGTGTGCAAAACAACTGAATAAGCACATGATAGAAGAATTGCAAAATTATGGTGACTGAAAAATACCAAGTTCTCTTTTTTTGGTCATTTTTCTAATATTCTAATTTAGTCTACCTAAATTGAGTACCATATGTCCAGATGACTTTAAAACAACTTTACTACATCTTACAAAGGATCATAAACACAGTAGCCAGAAGATTAGCAGCATATAAGGACACCATCATCCTCTGCCGCGCCCTTCTCCTCCTGCCCTCAATCTTTCCCAGCATCAGGATCTTTTCCAATGAGTCGGCTCTTCACACCAGGTGGCCAAAGTATTGGATCTGCAGCATCAGTCCTTCCACTGAATATTCAGGGTTCACTGACTCAATGGACATGAGTTTGAGCAAACTCTGGGAGATAGTGAAGGACAGGGAAGCCAGGCGTGTCATGGGGTCACAGAGTCAGACACGACTCAGTGACTGAACAACAACAAAGGGCCCCATCACTTGATTAATTTTCTCTGACATGTGCGCAAAATTTTAAATCACCAAATGACCAATAGAAGAAAATGAAATATCCTCTGAGTGGTCAGGCTGGTCAAGGTTTAGGTATAGCTGTAGTCTCTGTGCTCTATGCAACCTGCCTAGTGCTGCCTCTGCAGCAAAACCTGAAAAAGTTGCCATTCTAGATAATCCCTAATGCAGGCAATAAACTTAGCACTAAATTTCAAAACAAAGTGAATGCACACCTAAGTCTCTGTGCTTGCCTGCCTTCTCAGTAAACAAAGAATGTTGCAGCCATTAAACCATCATACTATGCTGACCTACGCTGCCGAAGAGCCCTGAGGGAACTCGGTATGGAGACAAACAGGCTGCCCACTTCCAAGCCCACCTAGCAGTCAGCTGCTGCAGCCGCCATGAACAGTGCACCCTGAGGAGACTAAGGATGAGAAAACACGGGATACTGGCCCCAGAGAGCTGAGATGCACATCAAATGAATGATTTCAGTGAGCCCAGATTCTTACATCTTCCCATACACAGAAAAGCCCTAAATTCCTTAATTGAGATACCTGGTTTTCTTTAATTAACTGTAATTTTTTTTGATGTTCCGCCCACCTGTCTTTGTTGCAAAAACTCCTAAATACCTTGACTCCTTCCTCATCTCTTTGAACAGACCTGAGATACTCTGTCCCAGGCTCACGGCCTCAGTTTTTTCCTTTAAAGCAGTTGTAACGTGTTCCAGACAGAACACAAGCAATTAAGCGACAAAGCAACGTGCTAATTCACAAGACCTGAGGCGCCTCCAAGCTGCTACTGTAGCCTAGGCAACCACACCGCCACACAGATCTCATTTTCCCCATGCCAAAACGGAGGAAATGTCCACCAATCTGAATGGATACCTAACTTAAGAATCAGTAGTAAAAAAGAAAAACACGGGAAAGTCGCTTTAATTTATAGATAACATGGCAACTGCTGACATACATCACGTGGCAAAAGACACAGGGTGACGGAAGCCCACCAGACGCTTAACCAGGGGTTTTCTAAACAGGTTTTCGCCCTACAAACATAAAATCACCTCGTTTTGTGATAACTTCACGGTGCTAGGTGGCAGGCAGGTGCGGCCAAGTCGTAAGAGATAAAGCCAAAAGCCTCCAGCATTCCTCGAACAGAAATTTCCAGAAACTTCTCCACGCCCCACGGCACCGGTACAAGGTCGCGGGCGCAATGCAGCTCGGAGGCCTGAACCAGTCCAGGTCCCAGTGTGGGCAGCCGGCCCCCACCTCAGAGCCGCCCCTGCCCGAGCAGCGTTCCAGCCTCAGGGACCCCCGACCCCGGGCGCCCCGCCGCCTCACCTCGCTCCCCTCCTATGTCCACGTCGAAGAAGACTCGAGGGTTACTGGGGTTGGAGGGCTTAGCCTCGGGGGATGGATGCGACATTGTAGCCTGAGGACGCGTGTACGACCGGCTCGTAACACCGCGTGGTCACCGTGAAGCTCGAACCCTAAAGTCACAAGGTCCGCGAAGAACGGCGGCGCTAGTGAGCCGCTTCCGGCTGGGGACCGGAGGACGAGGCCGACTTTCCGGCACCGCCTCTCAACTTCCGGCGGCGCGGCCCGACTTCCGGCTTCGCTGCCTTTGGAGTCCGCTGGCGCTTGAGCCCGCGCGGCCGATTCTATGCTTTTTGACCCGCGTTTCCCCTCTTTTCTCGTTCAGTGAAGCTGCAGGCCCAGTTGTTTTTATTCCTGTTGCTCGTGTTTCGGGAGAGCGTTGTCAGGCTGTCAACCCGTTTCACCTCGGGGCTCCGCTTTCCGGCGAGGGGCCGGCTGTCTGAAAATCCGTTTGTATGGGAAACAGGGCTGGAAATGCTCACGTCGGGGGTCGTCGGAGGGTGGAGACGGTGGCCCTCAACACCCGCCTGGCGGCACAGCTAGCGGCGGCGAGTCGCTGATCCCTGTGCGGTGGCAGCCACGCTGTAATTCGATTCTCCAACTTGGCCACGTGAACGGCCGCAGGAGGCCTGGCCGAAGATTCCTGGTTCAGCTGCCTTGTAGATCGCCCGCTTTCCCTCGGGGCTGGCGGAGGGGGCTGTATTCAAGCTTCTGATTCTGCTGCATGACCTCACACTCACTTCTTGATAAAGCTTAATTCTGGAAAAGAGTGGTGCTGTGGTCCTTACCACTTCATCGTATTCTAATTGTTTACTGACCTATTCATCTGTCTTCTACCGTTAAACTCCACGAAGACAGAATTTGGTGTTCTTTTTTCTAACTTCAACACTTATCACAGTGTCAGGCCCTGGGAATGTTTATATGAAAATGTTAAGAAATTTCGTTTTCATATGCCTTTATGTACAATGTGAGAAGAGTTCCTGTATCAGTTCCTCGTGCTGATCCTTTCAAATTCCAGCACATTAAAGCTAATGTAAAATGTTTCTTTTTTATGCATTGATGGCCTTCAGTTTCATGGTGTTTATCCGTTGTGGTTCCCTGAAGATCCAAAAGAACTTCACTTAGCACATAACCTCTGGGCCGCTTGATAAGAGTCAAAATAAATTATTCCTTAACCTAGTCTCATTTCAGAACTACAAATTGGTAGCTTAGACTTTTTCTCACATATCAAATGATTAAAAATTTTTATTCTGATCTACGAGCTTAAAATCAGCTTTTCAGTTCAGTTCAGTCGCTCAGTTGTGTCCGACTCTTTGCGACCCCATGAATCGCAGCATGCCAGGCCTCCCTGTCCATCACCAACTCCCGGTTGAGTTGGACAACCCGGTTGAGTTTACTCAAACTCATGTCCATCGAGTTGGTGATGCCATCCAGCCATCTCATTCTTTGTCGTCCCCTTCTCGTGTCCCCAATCCCTCCCAGCATCAGGGTCTTTTCCAATGAGTCAACTCTTGGCATGAGGTAGCCAAAGTACTCAAGTTTCAGCTTCAGCATCAGTCCTTCCAGTGAACACCCAGGAATGATCTTTAGGATGGACTGGTTGGATCTCCTTACAGTCCAAGGGACTCTCAAGAGTCTTCGCCAACACCACAGTTCAAAAAGCATCAATTTTTCAGCGCTCAACTTTTTTCACAGTCCAACTCTGACATCCATACATGACCACTGGAAAAACCATAGCCTTATCTAGACGGACCTTTGTTGGCAAAGTAATGTCTCTGCTTTTTAATATGCTATCTAGGTGGGTCATAACTTTCCTTCCAAGGAGTGTCTTTTAATTTCATGGCTGCAGTCACCATCTGCGTGATTTTGGAGCCCAAAAAAATAGCCTGACACTGCTTCAGCTGTCTCCCCATCTGTTTGCCATGAAGTGATGGGACCAGATGCCATGATCTTAGTTTTCTGAATGTTGAGCTTTAAGCCAACTTTTTCACTCTCCTCTTTCACTTTCATCAAGAGGCTTTTGAGTTCTTCTTCACTTTCTGCCATAAGGGTGGTGTCATCTGCATATCTGAGGTTATTGGTATTTCTGCCGGCAATCTTGATTCCAGCTTGTGCTTCTTCCAGCCTGCATATAAGTTAAATAAGCAGGGTGACAATATATACAGTCTTGACATACTCCTTTTCCTATTTGGAACCAGTCTGTTGTTCCACGTCTAGTTCTAACTGTTGCTTCCTGACCTGCATATAGGTTTCTCAAGAGGTGGGTCAGGTGGTCTGGTGTTCCCATCTCTTTCAGAATTTTCCACAGTTTATTTGTGATCCACACAGTCAAAGGTTTTGGCATAGTCAATAAAGCAGAAATAGATGTTTTTCTGGAACTCATGCTTTTCCGATGATCGAGCGGATATTGGCAATTTGATCTCTGGTTTCTCTGCCTTTTCTAAAACCAGCTTGAACATCTGGAAGTTCACAGTTCACGTATTAGCTTTCAGTTTATTCCAAAAATAGTCATTTATGCACTATAATCTTCTATTACTATGGTTGATTATCATTACCATTACCTAGGCAGCACAGCTAAGCACTTCTACTTGGCTATCAGACTTTTAGGGTTGAAGCTCTAATAGCAGCTTGTGATTTTTGAAAAGTTACTTAGCCTCTCTGTGTCTTAGTTTCCTTATCTGTAAGTGAAGATAATAGGTATTTTCTAATGTTTTTATCTGGATTAAATAAGTTATTTAGGTTTCAGACACATAGTAAGTACTCAAGTGTAAGCAATTATTAACCATAAATAGCTAATACTTTATTATAATTACTAATACCAACATTGATGTTACTAATACCAACATTGATATTACTATGTTACAGTAATTACTAATATCAAAAGTTACTAATATCAGTTTTGAATAATACTTGAAAATGAAAGAAGCAAAAGTGCTTTGAGGATGCCTCTGCATTGTCAGAAAATGCAACGTGATTCTTTCTGTTATACAGGTTTCTGGGTGTAAAAGACGAATCCAGATGTTACTCTCACTCTGTCTAGATTTTTCACAGCAAAGTAACAACTTTATATACCTGTCATATTCCTAGAACCAACTCAATTAACAGAATCTACCTTTGAAAATCTTTCCAGAACTGATAAATCCTTATCCTAGAAGACAAACTGTGTCATTGTCAGTCTGCTTAAGACAGGGCTCTGAGTTCTGAAGTCTTGCCCAATGTGTAGGAAGGAATGGAGCCAAGACTATGAATTATTCCTTTTATATATGTATGTGTATATATATATATATACACATATGTATATATATAATTTTTATAACTTTCTTTTTATATTGCAGTATAGCTGATTAGCAATGTTGTGATAGTTTCAAGTGGACAGCAAAAGGACTCAGTTGACTACTATTTTTTTAAGGCTGAGGACACAGTTTCATCTGGAGTGAGAGAGGGATATTTTTCCTAAGAGCCCTATTACTGTTTCTCTCTGTTCCTAGTGTGGTAGGATAATATTAACAGATTGCCTCCCCTAACCAGTATTACCTTCTTTCGATGTTTTTGTGCATGACTCCACCCCAAACAAGCAACTAGGCATCCTATGCTTATTTATTGCTTTAAGGGAAAGATGCAGCGAAAGAAAAGAAAGCAGAGGAGGGAAAAAAAGTCCGTCCTGGCTTTCATACTGCAAAAGTCTTGGCTTACAAGAACAAAAAAAAAAACTCCTGGCGGAGCAAGAGATGTGGATAAGAAATGTTCGGTGAGAGCATGGCTTTCCACTCACATGAAAAACTGAAATGAACTCCCCTCTTGTGCTGGAGAAAGAGGAGGTTGTGGCAGGTAGAAAGTGGGGAGAAAGAGGAAAGGTAGCAGAGGACTGGTTTAGATGGTCCCTAACTTGGAGAGTGAGCAAAACAACACCCCTGTATTTGTCAGTGTGCCCTGGGAGCTGTAGCTGTTTTTCAGTCTCCCAGTTGTGTCCAGCTTTTCACAACCCCGTGGACTGCAGCACGCCTGGCTTCCCAGTCCCTCACCATCTCCCGGAGTTTGCCCAAGTTGATGTCATGCCATCCAGCCATCTCATCCTCTGATGCCCTCTTCTTCTCCTGGAAGAAAAGACACCTTATTTCTGAGACGGGAGCTTGCAGAAAGGAACTCTGAACCCAGTAGAGGCTGGGAGAACCAATGACTGGGTTAGGATGCTGAGTTTCACACTGTATACCCATGTAGACAGATGGCATTGGGGACCAGAGGTCCCAACCTAAACAGTTGCCACCACACTAGACATTCTCAAATTTAGATCCAACCCTGGTGGTGGGGGGAGGTGGAATACCAGAAATTGGCAAAGATTATGGTATCACCAACCCTTTGGAATAGACAATTCAAAATTGAACTTAAAGGTGAGTTATGGAAAAATAAATTTGTGTTTATACATTCGCATGGTTATAGGCTGTGACAAGGACACACACAACTTTAGAGTAACACCCAAGCACATTGTCAAAGACAAGAAATCAGGAAGGACACCAGGATTTGGGGAGAAACTTCAGGATCTTAGATGTTTAAAGTCAGTCTCTGACAGCAAAATGGGAACTGGTCAACATGTAAGTCTTCAAGAAGACAACACAATTCTGCTTCTGGAGGGGAGGGCTGGTGTTGATGAGGTGGTAATGTGCGGGAGAGTAATGACTTCGCACCCCTGCTCTGAACCACATAGAGAAATGGCTGTTTCCACTAAAAGAACAATCAAGAATGGAAAAGCAGTTCACAGGTTCTGCCTCCTACATGTATGACAACTGTGGTTTTTCTGACCTGGAGCACTGAACTAATGGAAGAAAGCAGAGGCCACCAGGGGACAGCAGAGTCTATGCCACAAGCAGAAATCATCCCACAGACAGAAATGGTGCCTGGGGCTCCGGGCCTGAGGACTCCCAGTGTGACAAGATTCTTCTAGGTGCTGGAAGTGACACGACAAAAATGGTATTGATGATCAGTTGACAATCACACCCAGTAAGAGGGCTATGTCTGTTCCTTTTCTGAGGAGAAATAAGATTAATCTTAACTATTTTAAGTTGCAAAATGTATAGTTCTCCAGTAGACCAGAACCAATGATACACTGAAGTGAACCCACAAAATCACTGTTGAAATCCAATTTACACTTACCTAAAAGGACTTCCTCAACATGGATTTTATAATTATCAGAAATAACTTGGCAACTACTGCTCACTGCCATGTGCCAGGCTCTGTGCTAAGTGCTTTACATAATTAATGTTATTGTCTTCAACTTAACTGTGTCATAGGTCATCTTAACATCCTATCATCAGACGAACAAGTGCCAGTGAGGTCACAAAAGTTGCCCAACGTGACTCCAAAGCCAATTCACTATGTATCGGGTTGGCCAAAAAGTTCCTTTGGTTTTTTAAATATAATTAAAAGACACATTTTTCATTTTCACCAAAAGCTTTATTGAACAACATATTCACTGTTTTGTTCCACTACCTTCTGTCACTTTTCATTCAACATCATCATTCCATATTTCCAAAACTTTCTCTCTTTTTTGGCCAAAGAACTATTAATAGCAAGCCAGGGCTCTGTGGCTTAGACAGTAAAGAATCTGCCTGCAATGCGGGAGACCCACATTCAATCCCTGAGTCAGGAAGATCCCCTGGAGAAGGGAATGGCAACCCACTCCAGTATTGTTGCTGAGAAAATCCCATGGACGGAGGAGCCTGGCTGGCTACGGTCCACGAGGTCACAAAGAATCAGACACAGCTGAGTGACTATTAATACCAGGTGCCTTTTACAGTATTCCAGGGAATTGAAAAATTTTCCATTAAGAGAATTTCATAAAGACCAAAATAAATAGAAATTCAAAGGTTCAGTGAATACAGGGGATGAATTTGTAGCCAAGCTGTAACAGTATTTGCCTGCTTATCAAAGAAATACGTGGCCTTGAGTTATCCTGATGGAAGATTATGTGTTTTCTGTTGACTACTTCTGGACACTTTTCATGAAGTGCCTTCAGCTGGTCTGAGGATAGTACTTGGAATTAATCCTTTGGCCTGCCAGAAGGAGTTCATAATAGAGGACTCCCTTTCAATCCCACCATATACACAATATCACCTTCTTTAGATGAATACTGGCCTTTGGTGTGGTTGGTGGTGTTTCATTTTGCTTAACCCACAATCTCTTCTGTTCCACATTATTTTTAAAAATGTATTTTATTAGTTTTGGCTGTGCTGGGTCTTTGTTGCTGCACAAAAACTTTCTCTAGTTGTGGCAAGGGGCGGCTACTCTTCATTGTGGTGTGTGAGCTTCTTATCACAGTGGCTGGTTTCTCTTGTTGCAGAGCACAGGTGCTAGGTGCGAAGGCTTCAGTGACTGCAATGCATGGGCTCAGTAGTTGGATCACTGGACCACCAGGGAATCCACGTTCCACATTGCCAAGGTAAAAAATAGTCAAGACCTAAATGTTGAGAGTTATGTTTTCTTTGGTGGCAATTTGAGGACTTTAACCCCAACAGACAGCATTTCAAGTGACGCTGAGAGAACTGTTCCGAGGACGTGGGGGTAGGGTGAATCAGGTTATATAGAAGTCTGTAACAAGAGGCAGGTAGTCTGAACATCAAAAGATTATTATTAATTAAGGAAAACCAGATAGTTCAAGTTAAGGAATTTAGTGGGTTTTTTATGTATGGGAAGATGTACGAGTCTGGGCTTACTGAAATCATTTCTTTTATGTGTATCTCAGTTATCTGGATCAGAATCTTGTGATTTGATTTTTTACATCTTTAGTTTCTCGTTTGGTGTAGGGAGGAGTGGCAGCTTGAGGTGGTTCGCTGGCTGCCAGATAGCAGGCACTGTTCTTCCTGGGCGTACTCCAGGCTCAGAAATTTACCTATGGAAGGCCAAGGATAGCTGATGGCTATGCCATTCTTATTTACAGATACGGCAGGAAATATGCCATTTCACAACATTATGTGCATTATCCACTTTTCATCACTCATCACAGTATATTTTAAAAGCAGAACATTTTCATTACCTTTAAGTAGAGAATCGCATGCAGAAATACAATCAAGAAGGTTTTTTTCACTTGTGTGGAAACCAAATATCGAAGCAATTATTAATAATATAACCAAGTTTGTGCAAATGATTTTCAGCTCTTGATTTGGATACTATGAGTATGTCAGCTGTCCCCCGCATGCTATAATATTGATTGTTCTCAATTAATGATTTGATTGCTGTCAACTTCAACTGGCTTACCTGACCATGAAGTTTTATCTAGAGAGAAATCTCTAGGATGAAACTTCAAAAACCACTTTTGCATGTTTGATCAGTCACAGCACCTTCTCCATACACTACACAAATCTTTTTTTGTGTTTCAGTTATGTTTTTAGCTTTCTTGAAATAATAAAGATTTTATGCTTTTATGCCAAAACGTTGCTTTTTTTCCTTCCATCTTCAATCTTAAAATGAGTACACAAAAATTCACCAGTTTTGATGAGGTTTTTTTTAATGCATGCTAATATGAGAGCTATCACAATACAATTTAACAAAATTGTCTTCAATGAAGTTAAAGACAATTAAGCACTACTAGAGCCATCTTCAGAAAAAAACGAACAAACATTCTGACCAACCCAATACTAGAAAGATAAAACCTAACACTCTATCTTTAAACCTCTAAGTTTTAAATATTGTGTAAGAAATACCAAGCTATGTAAAGGGCCTTGAGCTCCTCATGACATTAGTGCTGGACTTGGTTTATTCTTGCATAACTCAGTTTTGGCCTGATATTATAAAGCAGTTTAGGCTCCTATACATTTTGTAAGTTATTCATTATCTATAGAATGTGTCGTTGCCGTTGTCACTCAGTCGTATCCAACTCTTTGCAACCCCATGGACTGCAGCACGCCAGGCTTCCCCATCCTTCACCATCTCCCTGAGTTTGCTCAAACTCATGTCCATTGAGTCAGTGATGCCATCCAACAATCTCATCCTCTGTCATCACCTTCTCCTCCTGCTTTCAATCTTTCCCAGCATCGGGGTCTTTTCCAATGAGTCGGCTCTTCACATCAGATGGCCAAAGTATTGGAGCTTCAGCTTCAGCATCAGTCCTTCCAGTGAATATTCAGGTTAGATTTCCTTAAGGACTGACTGGTTTGATCTCCTTACAATCCAAGGGACTCTCAAGAGTCTTCTCCAGCACCACAATTCAGAAACATTTATTCTTTGGTGCTCAGTCTTCTTTATGGTCCAACTCGCACATCCGTATTTGACTAAAGGAATTCCTGATAATACCAAAAACACAGAATGAACTGCTTTCCGATTCTTTCTCTTATTTTGACCCTCAAAAACAAATAAACAAATGAACATACTGTTATGTCATTTTTATTGAAGGATATAGGTTCCTAGAATTCAAATTTGAAGGACTTTGAATTCGACTATGTTTAGTGAAGCTGCTGTTTAATGGTTATCATATTCTTTATACAATTCCTGCTGCTTGTTTTGTGGTTTCAGCTAGGCTTTGGTGCTGTGCTGTGGCTTCATCATCAAGATGGCAAGCAACAATGGGAAAGGAGGGATTTCTATGATGTTGAGAGAAGAGTCATTCAAGTGCCCTGGACTGCACACCAGAAGCAAAGAGCTGACTTAGTGTTTTTGCCCTCGGAATGGAATATCTCACCTTGCTAAGAAGAAAGGTTTCGGAGAGGGGTTTGACTTTTTTTCAGATCACAACGGTGGATCTATTTAAATCCTAGAACTCTGATGATTGCTCCAGAAATTCATACAACAGAGCATCATCCAAAGAAGGTCAGCTTTTACTGTTAATATAAAACTGTGAGGCTGGTGTTTGGATCCCTTTTCACAGAGGAGGAAACTGAGTACAAGACGTTAAAGAAGTGCCCCTAGACCATGACGCCGAGCCGTCAGGCCATGAAACGTGCCTCCTAGGTCCCCAAGGGCATTGTTCTTCCTCTATCTGGATATTCGGGAATATCTGCCGATAATAACAATTTTGTTTTTGTCATTAGTGATGACAGTTTTATCATTGCTGCTTTTGAGAAAAAAAAAAATGAGCCAACAGATTCAGTCACTCCTTGAATAATCCCTTAAAAGTGACTATTGGATCACACTGTTGAAAAGAGGCCATGTATTCAGGTCATCAAAAAAATAAAAAAGCTTTTAAGCTTCAAATGGAGAATTTAGATCATAATTATTTAGTACACAGCTAAATTGCAACTAGATCTAGGAAAATAGAATTCCTCTGTACTCAGAATCTTGATACATGTTCAATGAGGACTCTGTTCTTTTGATTTACTTTTATAGCTAATAAGAAGAAACTCAGATATAATAGAGTGATAATATTTGCTGAAGTATTTCCATTAGCAGTGCAACATCTACTGGGGAAAAAAACTGTCGTTATTCAGCCAGCATTACTGAGTACCTAATACCTGCTGGGCTAGCATATAGTTATAAGAACAACAGAGTTGCTGTTTTTAAGGAGTTCACTGTTTTCTAAAAGAGACAAATCATTATATGAACAATTTATGTATAATAATGCATATACATAATAATATGTATTATATTCAAGACACTGTGGGGAAAAAATTGGAATATTAGACTTTAGAGATCTCTAACAATTTTCTAGGGGAGGTAGGATTTGATCTAAGTCTTCTTAAATTCCAGAAAATACTTCACCAGGCTAAGAGACTAGAGTCTGGGGACACCTGTTAATATTATACATAGAGCATGGCCTAAAAATGATTTACATTTAAGAAATTAAAAGCCAGAG